CCAGGATTCAAATGTCGCCACGCTGTGTTCGCTGTTGGTGCTCAACACATGTGCAGTTAGATATTCATGCTGATTTGGTTGTGATCCAGCGTAAAGAAGGGCCCGACGCGAAGGCAGTGAGTATCGCTTCTCGCTAGCGTTACGCGTCCTGACGAAAGAATCTGACTGACTCCAAGCCTACGATATGCTGTTGTGGCCCACCACAGCATGATGCGGCACGCGTGGAGCTGGATCGAATCAACGAGGAAGGGGAATTTGTTCAAACCGGCTGCCTGCATACACCTTCAACGGCATGCTCATGGAGCCCGAGGAATACACAAAGCTCCTACCCGGGGCCACGGTGGCTCTGACGTTTGAACTGTGCCACTGGTCATTCAGCAAAGACCAACGCGACCACTTCATTGCCGATGTCGTCAAGATTCGCGTGATCGAGCAAGCCAAGCGCCTTCCCGCGAGCCCGAGAAAACGCCGCTGCCCCTTCAGGTGGACTTGGGAGCGAGTCCCACTAAAAAAGCGCGTGCGGGCTAAATATACGTGAACTAGCGTACGTTCGTAGTTGATGTCAGAAAGTGTGTGTGTGGAATGGCAGCGGAAAGTGTGGGTGAATTTCAGAGAGGGGTCACGTCAATAGAGCAAGGCACTCTGCCGGCGGAGACGGCGCTCTCTAGTAGATTTCAAGTCTCATATTGGAGAGTATTTCAATTACTTCCAAACTGTTGCAAAAGTTATTGATCTCGCTCTCGTATCATATCGAGCAGCGGAAGCTTTGCACGTGATAATCATTGATCACCGATCATGCATTATCGATTACCTTACGGATAACGCTTCGTGTTACCGCTGCTTTGGTTACAGCTAGTAGAAATTGCAGTGCATGAAAGTCTACTAGTAAATCTCTTTTGTTTATCGAGGTCACATCCAGTCTCACGGCAGCCACACAGTGAATGCGCCGGCTTCCGCGTCTGATCCCACAGCTGATGATCAGTCCGGCTGTGATCCGGCCTCACTCACTTGCTTTGTCGATTGTATTGTCTTCCTTCCCACATCCGTCATGGCAAGCGAGCGCATTGTCCACCCAGGCCAAAGCGCGTTTTTTCGTTCAAAAAGCCACCTGTTTCGGGTATGAACCCATTGTGATTCCGTGGAACCCGTTATCCTCTTCCCCTCATGCGCGCTGCAAACGCCCTCGCCGGGCCCTCGGACGCGTCGACTGATACGGGGCACCGCCCGCGTTCAGGCCACACCTGGGGCTATCTCGAGATCGCCGACACGACCGACTCCGCGCCGAAAAGACGCGTCAATCTGCGGGGATACCTGCCGTACCTGCTGGGCTGCACGTCCGGCGACCAGCCGCTCTCGGAGGCCATGATGACGTGCTTGGGTGGCGACTTCGTGCCGGTGCCGCTCCCGGCGATGCATGGGCACCGCAGTGGCGGTGCACTGCTCTTGGAGTGGAATGGGCGCGTTGACTCCCTGCGCGGATTCAACGCGACCAGCTTTCTCGGCGAGGATGGGGAGGAAGAGGGTGTGGTTTACGTGCGTGCGCGATTGCTCAGTCTCCCCCTTCGTTCTCCTGAACGCGAATATACAGATCAACGACAACCCCGCCGTGACGTGGCAGATCATGTCGCTGCCCCATGGCGCGCGGATCGTCATCGCAAGTCCCGCTTTTCCCATAGCCTCGTTCACGTTCTGTGTGACCCTCCCCCCTCCCAAGACCCAACTCATCCGGAGCCACTACGAAGTCATCAAGCAAATCGGCCACGGCGCCTTCAGTGCGGTGTACTACGTGAAAGACGTGCGGGATGGGTACTGCTATGCGCTCAAGACCCCAGAAGGGTGTGTGCTCTCGAGCTCCATGATGGTTTCCGCGGCTGATTGCGATGCAGACCATCGCGAGTATACTGGCCGCTGCGTCCCAAGAGGTCATGGCGCTCATGGCCCCACCGCATCCCAACGTGTGCAGGATGTTTCAATGCGACTATGGGACCGATATGAAGAGTTGTGGTGCGTGTTGCGAGCTGCGTTTCTATTGAATGCTCATTCTGGCAGATATGATCCTGGAATACATCCACGGGATCCCGATCCACCGATTCGTCTCTGAATGCGGCTTCGTTCGTGAGTTCTGATTCCGTTCCTGTGGCTCCCCGTCGTCTGACGCATTGGACGCACACAGCGGAAGCACAAGCCAGGCACCTGGCCTTCCAGCTATGTGTTGGTCTCCGACACATGCACAAGGAAGGGATATCGCACGGAGATATCAAGGGCGATGTAGGACGCTCTGATCAATGTAGTTTTATCCTGCTAAGAAGGTCCCAGAATGTACTAGTGACACTCAATGAAGTAGGCCAGCCCCTGATCAAGATCATTGACTTCGGACTGGCCCGAGTCAAGGGAAACCTGAACTCGCTGCTGGTCAGTGGCGGACTGCTGCCACTGGTTTCGTCGCTAACAATAGCTGTAGTCGCCATCCAGGACATGCTACACAGCTCCAGAGGCAGGCCCCCAGTTTCGCGGCCTGGATGGCAATGTTTCCTGTGCACAGATCCAGCTGTGGGACAGCTGGGCTTTGGGCCACCTGGTCTTCTTCATTCTGGCGGGAACCTACCCGTACTTCAAGCACGGGGCGTTCACGACGGGGATCGACGAGGTCAACTGGCGCGCGTTGCGGGACAAGCCCGGTGTCGGACCAGCAGGTGGGCCGTTGCGCGTGATCTCTGGCTTGTGGGGATCTGACCACGACTTGAGTAGCTGTTGCGTTCGTTCGCAGGCTGCTGTGCATCGATCCAAGCGAACGGCTCCAGATCTGCAACTCGCTGGCCGAGCCGTGGTTCTCCGGCTTCCGTCCTGAAGTTCGCGTTTTCGGAGCGCTGGATGTTCCGCCCTCACCGGGAGATGTGGGCTGATTCGCAAGAGTTGTGGTCTGAATCTGAGCACGATACTCATATGGATGGCGAGAATCAGGGCAGCGAAGATACGGGTGGGCAGTTGGACGATATGGATGTGGGCCGTGCTCTAGATCCGCGGGCAGCCTCAATGGATCAGGACGTCGACATGGACGCCTCCCCGCGAAAGGCTGTACCCAAGTTTACAATGGTTCTGCGGAAGCGTAATCCGGCCAGTCCACCGACTCCAGGGTCTCCATCGAAGCAGAAGGGGAGAAAGAGGAATTGAGGAGCTTCTGTTTGTTCGGCGTGCTACTGTTCCGTTATATCTCCTTGCCATTCTCTATCAAAACACACTCGTTTACATCTATTTGATAAATGTTGTTGGCAGTCTTGTATTGGTTTACCACCTCCATTATGGAAAGGACGAATGGTCTGCAGGACCGCTAATACACTAATACAGTTCGACTAATTACTGTCCCGCAAGGAAGTAGTTCGGTTGACCACGCCTGTACGGTGCTCGTCCACACAAAATGGGATCACCATCGATCCAAGTGATATATTGCCTCGGAATCTCCAGGTTGAAATCCACTGGATAGCGCCCGCGGGGTCTCCCGTCGTTCAGAGCTGACTGCGAAGCGACGGTCGACTGGGAAGCAACAGCACGGAGAGTATGCTCGCGTTTCACTCTTTTTGCACGCCTGGTGCTGGGACCATGCTCGTCGTCTACGCCACCCTCTTCCTTGACCCCACGTGCGTCAGTTTCGGCAGTGATATCCCCGCGCCGGCGCTTGGCGGCGCGTGCGTTTGGACGCGCCTCGTCATCCTCTGTGCTCGCGATTCAGTGCTCGGTATCGACCAGGCGGAGCGTACGCACCTTCTTTCTTGACAGTTGGCTCCGAGTCCTCATCGGAGGGGTGTGCGCGTCGCGCCTCTGAGCGCGCGTTGGGGGTACCGTTGGCTGAACGAGCTAACACAGAAGCCGCAGCGAAGTCGGGAGCGCTCGCGTTGAGGGAAACTTGGCACAGAACGGATGAGGACACAACAGAGCTGCGCGAGGCGGGCAACTCACTGTGAGCATCCAGTGCTTTCTTCGTATGGACTACGATCCGTCCCGCTGCAGCGACCTTGGTGCTGCTCGCCTCCACGGTCACTTCGTCCGCGTCCGGATCGTCCTGGGACTTTGCGACCTGTGCAGACCGTGAGTGAGTTCTGAGCCGGCCCAGCGCGAGGACTCGTGACTCACGGATACGTTTATCTCAATATATTTCCTGTTTGCGCCCCGCCCTGTGGTGAAAGACATGCGGGAAGAGCTAGAGACCAAGAGGGTGACATTGTCGACAGTGACGAGATGTTCGCGTGGATGGGTGGGTGATGGCGCTGAACTGGCAGACGCGTTGGGCGAAGGGGGCTGGGACATCGTGAAGGAGTCGAGTGGGATGGCAGCAGAGATGGGAGAGAGAGATGGAGAGAATGAAGCGATGGGCTATCTGGCTTTGTTCTTGAGCCCCCGTTCGCTTAATAGATGCTATTGTTCTTGGGCCAAAGCGCATGATCGTGGTCAAATACTCATGTCAGGAGCAGTCCCAAGCGATAGGTGCGTGCCTGCTCGAGCATGGACAGAGTCATCGCATGACGCGCCACCAGTCGGTTGAGAATCATGGGTGAGCCGGAGACAACAAGCACCGGGCTAGCCATGCTGTTCCGGCAATTCGCGGCGTACGTAAGCTCCATCCCGTTCCTTGCTTGGACCTTTCAAGTTGCTTTGATCATCTCTCGTGGGCCTTTGCCGGTGCCCGTCAAAGTGCTGCCGCGCTTTGCGGCACAATTATGGATCCAAAATCCAAGCATCTGAAAATGAATATAAGATGCCTCTGAAGCCACCATGAAAGCACAGCAACATCATGGTGTACAACGCTGCCTTAGCCCCCTCCAAACTCACTGTTGACCCTCTCGGCCTTGAATGTGACGCCGAAATTGTCTGGGGATCTCTCGAACTCACTCGTAACCTCCGACCTCCGATCTCTCTGAACGGATATAAAGCATTTGTTATCGCATTCGGGCCTGAGGAAAATCTCTTCACTCAAGGCGTTCCTCGATATCTGAAGGGAGAAGACTATTTCCCTGTCTTTCTTCCTGGCCCGGATCCCGACCCAGGTGAGGCGAATCGGTGTCTGGACTTTGGGCACGCACAGCTGATATTCATACCCCGTGGCAGTGGACTCGCATCCGATCATCAGGTGGAATGGCCGACAGGACTCGCTGTGCGCTTTCACGTTGACGAATTGCGCTCCGGTATCCGTCGCAATCGTATGTCTCCAACCGTCGGGCTCCGGTTCGTAGTTGACTGACCTTCTGCAATCAAGCTCGACGGCGCGCACCTTCAGCCGTGGCAGTCGGTCCCTCTGGTCGACGGCGCAGTCATCGAGTTCGTGCCTTCTGGATACCGGTACACCTTCCGTGTGGCCTTTCGGCAACTCAGACAGCATTTGGTTTTGAAGCACCACTACGAAATCGTCGGTCAACTTGGGCAGGGCGCGTTTGGTGCGGTATGCAAGGTTCGAGACCGACGAGACGGAAAGCTTTACGCATTTAAGTACCTGCATAAGGCAAGTAAACGACATTGCTTAATTTTCTATTCTCGGATTATAACACACTTGTTGGGCGTACAGACCAGGAGGATGGACAGAGAATGTGCTTACCACGAGGTGCGTTGCCGGTGGTTGTGGACGAGGCATCAGACCGTCTGACCGCTTTCTCTGCGATAGATGATGGCGCTAAAGACGATTGGGGCACATCCCAACATTGTCAAGCTTATTCAGCCTCTTTCGAGCCCTACGGAAATCGGCTATGGTCTGTCTGAATCACTCACCACCCTGAAATGTAAATAATCCTTTGCAGACTTGCTTCTTGAGCTCATTCACGGCATCACATTGCTGGAGTACGTTGGATACCGCGGATGTTTGTGTATGATTCTATTTCAACACTTTCTAGTCTGCTTTCTGACTATGCACAGCCGAAGATCATTCACGAAATCTGACCTACCAGCTGTGCTCCGGACTTGTCTACATACATGGCCTGGGAGTGTCGCATGGTGACATCAAGTATAATGTGAGGGACCGAGAATCGTTTCTCACTTGACGCGCGCTCATTTCTGGACAAGAACATCCTTCTCACTCTCGGTGACCACCAGCAGCCGGTCATTAAGATCATCGACTTTGGGCTTGCACGCATCAAAGCCTTTTCCACGTATCCAACTGTGTGTCCTCACTCTCCTCCGCCTTCCATAATCCCCTCAATGAATCATGCTCCAGAAAATCTCCTCGACCTCCTTCAACGCACCGGAAGTCTTCCACCAGGAGCACAGCGCGACATTCTCTCAGATGCAGCTCTGGGACAGCTGGGCGCTGGGATACATGGTGTACTTCATGCTCACGGGCTCGCACCCTTTCGTCCCGCATGACGGCCCATTTGACCCCAATAGCGATACCATCGACTGGCTGTTGCTGGAGCACCTCGGTGTCAGCGTCGCTGGTGTGTCGATCCCAATCTCCTCCACTATCACAGACGCTCATACCTCGAAGCTTATTCTTTTGTCCGGCAACTGCTGCGCATCAGTTACCCGCGCCGACTTAAGATCCGTCACACACTGAAACAGCCCTGGTTCCAGGACTTCGACCCAGCAGCACGGATCTTTGGGCGAGATGACCTGCCGCCTGCTCTAGTTGGCCAATTCGATGCGAAGGCTTCAAGTGTCTCCGCATCCGTTTCGAAGCGGAAGAGAGCCCCGGATGCGATTGCCAATGCACTTGGCAAGAAGAACAAACGCTCTGACCAGAACTGATATTTCCCCCACGCCGTGATCCTCGTTGTCTCCACGCTCTTTTGCTCTAGATCTATCCACAACCACACGCTCCTTCTCATGAAATGAATTCCCGACTTTTCTACGACCATGACATGTCTATCTGGACTCCCCCGCGGCGATGTATGCTTATATCTAGATATACACCATAGTATCCCATCATCAATTACAAACATATTTTCCCTCCCGAAACTAACATCATGTCCGATGGTTTACAAATGCTCGAACCCAAGCATTCGTCGCACGAGCTTCTGATTTGATCTGAGAGCGACCCTAGCATCATCGACTTCGCCCCTGCCTCAGCCTTTGCCTGCCGTTTTCAAGTTGGTGAGCAGTAAGACGCGTTTAATCAAGCGGATAGCAAGTCTTCGATGATTTGCAGGTCGATAGGGATATCCGCATTTTTGAGATACTCGTCGTTCCTAACAGCTTGCTGTCAGTCGAACTCCTCGGTAGCATGAACCTCGCAACAGACCAGAACTATAGCCAATGATCAGTCTGTCGTCAGCCTCACGGAGTTGCCAGACATACCTTGGAATAATGCCTCGATCCCGAATCGCATCTACAGTCCCGCACGTTAAGCACCCAATGTCACCCATCAAGTGGAGAGAACCCACAGAACAGTGGTGATCCGCTCTCCGTTACTCCATCCCATCTTCTGTGCCAAACGAACAGAGGCCACAAGATTGCATGCACTGCTGGACCCGATGAAGATTCCGTCGTGCCTCATCACATAGCGCGCCATGGCCACAGCTTCAGCGTCAGTCACTCTGGGCAGTAAACTCAGTGCAGCTCGTTCACGCAGGCACACCGTGCCGTACCTGAAAGCGTCGTCGATAACCGGGAGCGCGAGATTGAGGTTTTGCGTCAGGCGGTTCAGTCCTCTGCGCCGGTGCAGTCAGCCGTGAGGTTGCGTAGTTTCGTCGGAGGACACGTACATCCCCTCTACGACAGTGTCGACTTGGTGCCTTCGTCTGGTGCCTTCTTTCTCTCGCTGGTCGAAAAGAACACCGTACTTGACCTGCACAAGCTCCGTCTGTATATCCACGTTCTTATTCGAACGCCGGAGCGCGCACCTTGTTGTACAGGCCACTGCCCTCCGGATCAGCCAGGCACACGACCACATCAGCATCCATCGATTTGAGGAACCGACCGACACCGGCAATCGTTCCTCCTGTGCCTATCGAGTGTCATATTTCTTGCGTAGTCGGCAGTCCCAAACGACATACCCGCCCCACTCACAAACGCTTGCACGTTCCCGTTCGTCTGTCTCCACAATTCGGGTCCTGTCCCGGAGAAATGGGCGTCGTAGTTACTCCTGTTCTCAAATTGGTCCGCAAAGAAACCGCGGCGCGTGGCTTCCATTGGGTCGAGGAGAGGATGATCCGAAGATGTCGATTCTGACGAGGCAGCAGCCGAGAACTCTTGGGCGCGGCGTTTTGCTATGTTCTGGAGACGGCGTTGAGCAGAATTGAGGAATATAGGGAGATGGGTACGCACAACATACTGCTTCTTATCGACGATGCTCGCCGGCCGGACCTGCTCGACATCCGCACCCAGTGATCGCAGCGCATGCAATTTATCTGTGGCCATGTCGTCCGGGACGACGATCGCTGTGCACGTCCACAGATTAGCACGAGACAGCACGCGCAGGAACAGCCGGTGGATCCACGCACTGACATCATAGCCCCGCGCACGTCCGACCATCGCCAGCGAGATGCCGGTGGACCCGGACGTGCCCTCGAAGATCCGCGAGCCCGTGTACGGGTGGATCAGCCCGAGACGCTCCGCATCGTCGATGACTGCCGGCGGTCATTTCGTTTCTACATGCCCGAAAGTGCCCAGCAGAAACGCACTTCGTCCCGCGACGCGGTCCTTCACGCTTCCTCCAGGATTCAGAAACTAGTCTGGGGTGGGTGCGGATCCGTTTCAAGGGAGGATAAGATTCACCTCCGCTTTGCCCAAGATCTCCACACCCATTGCGTTCGACAGTGAGGGGACTCGAATGAGGGGCGTGTTTCCTGCACCCATTCTATCAGGGATACTTTTTCTTGCGCGTAGAGCATCATACCGATCACCGCAGGCAAGCCATCGAGAACCTCATCCACCCTCAACTCGATAGGTCGGCTTTGCTCCGCAGATTCTGAGAGGGCCGCGCGACGCCGCCGGCGGTCGAGGTACTGGAGGACGGAGGAGGAAGAGATTGATAGCGTGATGCCAATGAGCAGACCGAGTGCCAACGGGTGGACATGGCGGTGGAGCGCGAGAGACATCAGTCGAGAGCTAGTAGGGAAAGAAAACGCGATCACCTGATTGTGCCACATACGATGTTGTGGTGACATCTTCTAATGACGACTTTACTTACACACTGAGATGGGACAAGTACTGCATATATTGGTTGGAGGTCCATTGGACTGCTGCACAGGCATGTATACAATTTCGAGCGGAGATGTGTGACAGCCAACTGGCCACATAGGAGATGATACAGTACAGAGTCAGATACAGTTCGGATAAATGAGCAGGGATGAGGGTCTACAGTAAGTAAGTATAAGGGGTGCATAGAATAGAAATCGTTCGTTGGTTTATTGCGAGGGTGTATCGAAAGTCACCAGCACACCCTTCTCCGCAAGCATCGCCTGGCCAAGCAGCGCACGCTCCCTCCAGGCATTGCGCTCCGCCGTCAAAGTCTCGACCTGAGCCTCGATGAACAGCTGGTGCTCGAGCTTGCGTTTGCGGCTGGCCCGCGCAGCGAGGGTGTTCTGGCGCCGTTTGGCGACGATAGCCTCCTCCTCGCTCAGGCTAGGCTCTGGCTCGTCTTCGCCAAACGCGGCGGAGTGGGCACGCTTCTTGGCAAAAGCATCGGGGACGGCTTTGCGACTGGTCGCACTGGGTGTCAGGTACGTCCGGCGTTGGGTGGGAGCGTCGTGGGCGATGAGTGAGGCTGGCGTGCTATTCTTCCGGGTGCCTGTCGCACCAATCGTCGGACCACGAGGTCGGAAGGGGGAAGGGGGTACTACTGGTCCGCTGCGTGTAATAGGCAGGTCGAAGGATGGCAAGGCCGGGGAGGAGGGGCTTGCTTTAACAAGCGCCCGGGTGGGCTGTTTGCTCGATGACGTCATTGACTCCGCAGCGGCGGATTCAGACTCGGCGACACCGCCAAATAACGAAGCCCCCGTAAGGAATGGCTCATCGCTGTCCCGGATGAGAGGGGAGTCATGAACACCCATGTACGGGGTGCCCATTTCGGAGTATGGCGTCATGTCGGGACTGGTGCCACTGTCCGAGGTCAGAGGAGATGGGCGGGGGGAAGTGAGATAGGGCGAAGAGTATCCGTGCTCCCGGCTGGCATCATGTTGTTCGTCGACAACATAATCATCCATGGACCACTGCCCGGCACTATCCAGCGCGGGATCCGGGGCACCATGGACTGGGATCGCAGTGTCGTGGGTGTTCTCCCCAAAGTGAGCACTGAATTGCTCGTATCTTGGAAGCACGGGTGAAGCTGTGGGCATGGTGGTAAGGTCTGAAGAGTTGTAAGGCGGTGCTAGACCAGGCGCACATCGTATGTGATCAACAACACGTAAGCACTCGGCCATCCGTTGCTCCGCAGTAGATTCGGTGGATGATGCAGTGCGCTCTTGCACAGCCGGCACCGGAGGGACCACGTATGAGATTACAGGACGCGGGGCCGTATTGCTTGCCTTACGCTGAGGAGGCGGTCGGACAGGGAAACCGGCGAAGCGGGGTGCAGGCGATGGCGGGCGGAAAGTGACATTACGTCTGGTTGCAGTCGCGGTCGTTGTGTTGGGCGTGGCGGATGAACGACTGGAAGCCCGAGTCAGCTTAGAGTTCATTGACTCATCATCGTCAGACTCTTCGCCCGCAGCAGTTGAGGGGAGCATCGCATCCATCGCTGGTGACATGCCCTGGTGCCGCGCGTAGTAGGACTGGCGCAATTTCGCGTCCGAGGTGACATGGAGCGAGGATACAGTCGGAGCCCGATTTGGGACCGCCATGTAGCCAGGCGCACCATGCACTTGTGCTTGAGTAAACTGGTGCTCGTCCATTGCAATTTATATAGTGGTAGAGTATGTAATGCCGCGGGCGAGTACCAGTCCGGACGTAAATCCAACTCACTGGAAGGGAGAACGGTCAACGGACGGGGTGTATGTGAGGGTGGGGGATGCAAAATGACTTGACGCTGTTCCTTATATAAGGGTTTTTGAAACTCCGCCGCCGCAGTCTGGCCACGGCTGACGCGTGCGATCACCTGACCGTCAATGCGATGCATGGACATGTGACTCTGTCTTGCTCGTCATGTGACTGGAGACAACCAGAACCACGAAGTGATTTTCAAAAGCTCGAGGCCTCCCGACTGGCCTTGTCGGCGGGTTCCGCCACATAATTGATTCTGTCATCTGTGAAATCTACATTTTGTAGGATTAGGAGGGATAGCACGCTTTGTCATCATCCGTGCATATCGAAAATCCTGCTGCGTCAGCCGCGCGCTCAACTTCAACATCTTGATTTCTACTTCGGTGATGTTCCACAGTCATCGAGATGGTATTAATACGATTTATTAGTCTGTTGTGTAATTTACACGGACTCGTATCTCTGAAATCACTAACACATTCACACGGATTGCGGATCGAAGTCAGAGTCTGCTTCCACAATCGTAGACCCGGGAAAGTTACTTTCAAGATGTCCCAGCGTGGGGTAAAGATCATTCAATCTCTCCAACTTAATCAATCCTGGTCCATAAGTAAAGAAGCTTCATGCCTGTGTGGACATGTCGAACGGGATCCAGACGTTGGCAGGTGATCGGTCTTGCCATATGCCCAGAACCCAACTTCACCTTACCTGACAGTGCAGAAAGCCATCGATGCGCACGGCGCTAGGTACCAACTGCGACTCATGAAAATGCTTCCCCTAGGCCACATGTAATATACATTTGATTCGCCCAGTTCGTGACTAATGATACACCCATCCCTGCCTGCACCAAAGACAGTCAATTGAAAATCCCGGCAGAGTGATCCCACGCACCTTCCATTGACCGCAGATTGTGCATCCACCACTCTCCATTGCGATCTGGATTTTCGACATGGGAATGATGACCTCCGGGGTCATGAATCATCTAAATCCACCGTCTCGCCCTCGCCCTCACCACTCCTCAGCCCCAACAGGTCGAAGCCCTCATAGACCGGGGTAGCATGCCTCTTTGAGCTCCGTCCAAAGGTCGCAAACGACGGAAGCTGCATGGCAGGTGAAGGCTCCAGCTGGACGGTGCGTGGCGGACCAGACCGAGGGTAGGAGGTATTGCCGCCTGCCGATGACGCGCGGGTATGCGTTACGCTGTTCCTCGCGAGAGGACGGAGAGCGGAATCGAGCGAGAAACGAACGTCGTTGAGCTCATGTCCTTCGTCGTGATCCGAATAACTGGAATTACTTGTCCTCGTGCTATCGTACGAGAGCCGAGCTATGATGGTGTCCCTTGCTGCTAGTATCGAGCTGAAGGAGGGGGATGTGGACACTGCCGGGGCTGCGCCCGGTGTCGTCGCATACCGAGCATGGTGGGAGTGGACAGGCCTTGATCGTGGGGTCGGAGATGAGGGGGGATCGCTGCGTTGCGAGGGAGGAAAGAAGGATAGCTGCGAGGCGGGTATTCGTCGGATCGTGGAAGGCGGACTGGACGCCGGTGATGACACGTTGTCGTCACGAGGAAGCAGCTCCTTGGGTCGAGATGTCTTGTCTATGGGTATATAGAGGACCTTGCGCAGGTGGATGCTATCGGAGGTCCATAGTTGGTTCGCGCGTCGCAGTTCCGCCAAGTTGATGCCATACTTGAGTGCCACTCCAGCCAAGGAGTCCTTCGAAGTCACCTGTAAGAGGTGTAAGCGAGAGACAGAGGGACTCGACATGCCCCAGCACACCTCATGCACCAAAACGATCCTCTCGTCAACAGCCGGCTCTGCCACGATCATGTCCGCGCCGGGAATTAACGGGGCATCTACGAGAGGAGGGATGTTCAGGACACGGGTCAGCTGCGGCCTCGTCACATCCACTCCAGCGCGAAAGCCCGACGAAAGATCAGCGCTCCCCAAAGGGTGGTGCCCGCCCGCGACAACCGCCGTGGAGGAAGTGCCCTCTGTCCGCAGGCGCGTATGTCGAAAACCATTGATTGGGCCCGAGGAGCCTTCGGCTGTTGCCACGCTGTCCGTCCCGGACCCTCTCCTCCGCACAGCGGGACGCAGGTTGCGCTCGGAACCGTAGGACAGGTCGAGGGCCGTCGTCCCTCGAGTCTCCGTAGCGAAAGGGTTGAAGTATATCGACTCTGGGGTCACCGGCTTCATGCCGTTGCTGGAGGTCATGATGGACACAGCGAGCCCAGAGTGACGGCAAGTCGGAACGAAGGAAGATTTTCTCACGCCTGGCATCATCTGGCCCGAAACACCTGTGCTCTAAAAAAGGCAATAATTCTAACCCTATTTAGACTTGTGACGAGCCCATTCACTGCCCGTGGGTCGAACGTATATACCCTTATACGCATTCATTTGTGTATGGATTGGATTCGAGCTCGGCGTGGAGGATGTACCGGGACCTGAACCTATCGGTAGCTGTGCTAACCAGCAAATCATGAAGGGGTGGGCACAGAAGCGCTGAAGCGCTTGTTATATTTAGAGCTAATCCAAGACGGATCCATTGCTATTAATGTATTGCACGAGTTGCATGTACCCAAAGCTTGCAAGGTATTACAAGAGCGTCCACTTTCAGAGCACCTCGGTGCATCAGTCCTTCTTGGCGTTTACAACTGCGCCCAAAAGCACGCTGGGAAGCTCGACATTGCCGATGCTGTACAGCAGAGACACAGATCCGGCCACGACGATCAGAAGCACGATTGTCGTGCCAGCAAAAAGAACGAAAGGACTGTCCCGCAGTCAACCGAACGTACGGGAAACAGAACGAGAAAGAACACACCCGCTGACGTCCTTGCGCTCGCAGCTCTCTCCAACCCAGCGGTCAGTCTTTACTTGGTTCCCGGTTCCGGCTCGCGAATTGCGGCAGCTACAGACGAAGCACGTGTTGCCGAGTTTGGTCGCAGCCAGACATTCGCCACGGCCCGAGCACGACGAAGTTGCGTTGGTGCATGCATCAACCGTGGAATGGCACGTGGAGATAGAGTCCATGGGCGACTGGGGCGGAGGACGGGGGAACGGTGCCTGAGATGGCTGGGGCTCGGCATCGCGCTTGGCCGGAGTCGAAGTCGGCACCGAAAACGTGAGGAGAGCGACGCGAATCTCGTTGTCGACGGCGAAATCAAGTAGCTGCTGTGTCGCACTGACGGAAGAACGGTATTCGTCACTGTGGATACCGTGCGCAGCCCGCAGCTCGGAGAGACCGGAGAGCTCGGCAGCGGCGAATGCAGAGGACTTTGCATCAATGAAAAGGGACCTGACGGTGTCCAATTCAGCGGTGAACCATGCTGGCCGACTTTGCGAAAAGGGGTCTGAGGAGTAGATCGAACTGTAGACGTGCTTCGCACGATGCATATATGTCGAGATAACAGAAGAAAGAGAGCGAACAGGAGACGAAGGGGGAGTGAGGATTTCGAATGAGGGGCGTAGAGAGGACGGCAAGTGCAGAGCTACAGAACGCGTCAGAGGTGTATTACATCTGGCCCAACAGTCACTCACCTCGCGCGTCTTCGTGATCCATGGTCAAAAGCAGAACATTACTGTGGCCCTTCCCAACGAAAAACTCTTCAGTGTAGTCCAGCACAGAGCTATCGCGCAAAGGCTCGAAGATCTCCAGGCCTAAATGGCGTGACAGGGCCGCACTTGCGTCCTCTGCGCCCACTTCGCCACGGAGAAAGGTTTGAGGAGGGTAGAGATACACGTTGACAGCTTGTGCAGCCTGCAGACCGCAGAGAACTACAGCTAGCGTTGACCACATCGTCGTTGGTGCGTAGGCAGGTGTGACGGTCAGTGACGCACGTGACATCCGTCCTACTTGCTGCGAGTCTAGCACGACCGCTACTCTTTTGTCCGTCTTCTCCCAGCACGACCGTCTCCGACCCATTCACTTGTCCATTCAGTTGGGACTTTGTTGAAATCCTCAAAAATTATTTTCTATGGTGGTCTAGCCCGACCCTACACGACATGTTACGCCAACTGGTCTCAGAAATCTGGTATGCAAGCTGTTTTCCAATGTCGACCATTCACCACCACGCCTTCTGTGGCTGACACACCTGCTGCCGAGGACCTCACGCCAAGGCTTTCCCTATTTTCATCTCCTCGAATTCGCCTTTGTCCCCACCGCACGCAAGTCGCAAGTTCCGTTGGCCAAGTACTTCACCCGACTAACACCAAGCTTGATCTGACGCAACAACCTTTCGCCAATGGTCATGCCTCTCTCTGCGTCATGCCCGTTCGTGCCCGACACAGCAAGAGATCGGCGCCGAGAACTTGGGCTGCTTCACGGAAGCTCTGCAGCCGACAACAATTTGAGCACGTTGCGTGGCGCTTGCCTCCCCCGATGGCGAACGAGTGGGTTCCTGTGCTGTGCTGGTCCACGCGACCGTCTGAACGGAGACCGACCCTAGATGTGTTCTAGCTGCTGGAGACGATGTAGATCGCAAGGCGCGATGTGTCGATAGCATTGATAGTCGCAGATAGCGTTATAGACTTTATGTGACTGCCTGTTATCGCACCGAGTCATTATCGTCATTTCTCGACCACTACCAGCCCAGCCCCCGGATACGGGTCCGGCGCTTGCCTCCATCGCTCTGGCATCCATGTATGCGCTCATACCTGCCTATTACAGCTTTTAGGCTGGCTCGCTTGGCTGCGCAGATGATAGACAGGGAAATGATCCTTCCGTGGTTCCAACTTCCCTTGTCTGCCACCCACACCCACCAGGCTTCTTTCTGCACAGACCTAAGGCGCGTCGAATCTCTTTCCGTGCGCGTGCTGCGGCGGCTAAAAAAGAATCTGCATAGATCTGCCCACGCGCCTGCCGCGGACCAAGTCCGAATATATTTGTCCTTGCTTTCCCCATCAACCAGCTGCTCCTCCCTCGAACAGACCCTTCCTCATGTCTCAACCCCCCGAACACTATGCCCACTCCATGCAAGATCAGCTTGGCTCGCCAGAATCCGTCTCCTCGGAGCTCTCGGATGCGGAGGACGAGGAGGACTGGGAGGACTACAAACCGGGCGGATACCACCCCGTGAAGATTGGTGATGCCTTCTCTGATAATCGCTACGTTGTCGTGCGCAAATTGGGCTGGGGACATTTCTCTACAGTTTGGTTGACATGGGACAGCAAGTGCGCACGGTTCTCCGCGAGCAGAGGAGGTGATATGCTGAAACTTTCGGGTTCCGTAGGTCTAAACGACATGTCGCGATGAAAGTAGTCAAATCGGCCGCACGATACACGGAGACAGCGCTCGACGAAATCAAACTCCTCCAGCGCCTTATCACGTCTAGCTCCCCCAATGGGTCGAACAACCATCCCGGGCGCTCTCATGTCATCTCGTTCCTGGACCATTTCCGTCATAACGGGCCCAATGGCACGCACGTGTGTATGGTGTTCGAGGTTTTGGGAGAAAGTCTACTGGGTCTCATCAAGCGGCATCAGGTGCGCCCGATTGTCTTTTGCGCTGCTTTATGATTAGAGCGAACGTTCTCCGTAGAACAAAGGTGTCCCCATGCCCATGGTGAAGCAAATCGCGAAACAGGTGCTGCTCGGGCTGGACTACATGCACCGCTGCTGTGGGGTCATACACACCGGTGCGTCGCCCCATGACCGGTCGCTCCATGCCCCAGCCTGATGCGCCACAGACATCAAACCCGAGAATGTGTTGGTGCACATCGACGACGTCGAGTCCATTATCCAATCGGAGCTTGCACTGGCATCCGCTTCGCCCTCAAGCTCCGCGCCGAAGCCCAAGATCATCGGCGTCCCGCCATCGCAGGGCCGTGGCGGAAATCAGACGCCGCGCACGCAATCGTCCATCTTTGTGTCGCAACCGCTTCCGTCGCCAAAGAGCAGCAGCAGCCTCAGTTCGAGCTACATGTCCGCAGCCAGCGTCGACCGCTGGGGCCTGGGCATGACCCGAATAGACGGCAGTGCAAAAAGCCCTGTCGGGACACCAACGGCGACGACACCCAATTCGGAGATCGACCTGCATTCGCTTTCGATCTCACCCAAATCGACACACTCGGCTAATGTGTCGCTATTGACACAGAACGCGCCTCTCAAAGGGGCGATGCCCCCGAACGGAGGATCTTCGGGGGACATGGAGATAGATGTCGACCCGAACACAGCTGATCTTGCGGAAAAGATCACTGTGAAGATCGCTGACTTGGGAAATGGTGCGTCAGTGTACGTGTGAGATGGCATCGAATTGACTCCTTCGTAGCCACCTGGACACATCATCATTTCACAGACGACATCCAGACACGACAATATCGTTCACCGGAGGTCATTGTTGGCGCCAAGTGGGGCCCGAGCGCTGATATCTGGAGCGTCGCTTGTGTGGTCGGTTGTGATACCAGCAGGCTATGCGGTTGATGCTAACCCGTGCCCCTAGATCTTTGAGCTCATAACAGGGGGAGACTACCTCTTCGATCCCGCAAAGGGCACTCGGTACACAAAAGACGATGATCATATGGCTCAGATCTTGGAGCTGGTGGGTGATGTTCCCAAAGCTATCGCCTTTGGTGGAAAATACAGCTCGGAATTCTTCAATAGAAGAGGTATGCCATGCTTGACTGTTCTTTTCGTTCGGGCCTGAGATTCTGTCTCCTAGGTGAACTGCGGCACATCAGCAAGCTGCGCTACTGGCCACTGGAGTTGGTACTGCACGACAAGTACCTGTTCCCGAAAACGGAGGCAGACGACATCGCCTCGTTCCTAACCCCGATGCTCCGACTGCACCCTGACAAGCGGGCCAAGGCAAGCGACATGGTGCACCACAAGTGGCTCGAGGGCGTCGTCGTGCAGGGCGACGTGGATGTCATCCACCGCGCAGAACGGGAGGACATGTCTTCCTCCGTCAGCCCGCCGTCGTCGAAAATGATGCAGGGAGACACCAACATGGGCAGTCCGCCGACGAATGGTGTACAGGCTTCGATCAAGCGACCACAGGCAGAAACCGATGCGCTGAAGCCGGTCGGCGAGCTTCCGGCGCAGGCGGAGTAGGGTCGACGAGAGAAGTGCTAATCTAATCTAATGTGCCCCGCCTGTCTAGAGGTGATTGATTGTGTACGACGTACCACATCTGTTGTATTTGTGTCTCATAGCAGCCCATCCATTTCTTCGATACCCGCGGCCTTTCTTGTGGCTGAAATATAGACTGGTTATCAGTCGAGTGTGCACTTCAACGAGATGACCCTCAAGTGAAAACGGCTCTACTTGGCACACGCCTGTTCAGTCACCTGCCGGCGTCCAATCGCGTTGACTACTGCTCAGAAAGTCTATATGTTTCCAAGGACTTCCTTCTGAATTAAAATCTTTCTCTTTTTTCCGGTTCAGTTTTCAGTTTGATAGTGTGAGATTTGAGAATACAATTCGCTACAGTTGGTAGAGGAGCGGTCCACGGAGTTCTATACAGTTAAAGATCAGTCAACGTGCGGGTTACTACTAATACAGATATACGTTTCAAGTCGAGGTATAATGAACAGAAGAACATTCGTTCATCCCGGGGAGTGGAATGATGAACGATGGGGGTGCGGATACACGAGAGATCGAATCCAACAACGGCTGTGAAATCAGACCATGTGATCGCGCTCAAATGCAACGGCGCTCAGAGCCGGAGCTCTTCGGCAACGCTGCGCCACCACGCGCACCGCCGCGGGTAGTCCGCGTCGATGTACGACATCGCGCTGGACGCAGCCGACGCGCCGGTATTCGGGACCATGAATCCGCCGTTCTGGCTCGCCGGCTCCCAGCGCGGCGCGCCAGGGGCCGCGTGCGTGTTGGGGTCGAGCGTCATCGCGAAGCTGGACCACCACGCGACGGCCTGTTTCGCGAGGTCCGCTTCGGCGGGCTTGAAGGCGGTGAATACGGGCTGCGCGACGGACGCGCTGGGGCCCGAGTTCGTGCCGTCATACAGGTAGAAGAGCTCCGCGGTGTGTGCTGCGCCGACGTAGGCGCCGCGCGCAGCGATGATGTTCGGGTCGACTGCGTCCCAGCGGTAGTTGTACGCTGGCTTTCCGGAAATGTTGCCAATGTACCAGGGCCAGCATGAGAGCTGTGATAACGAGTTGGTCAGGAGATCGGGGACCACAAGCACCATCCACGCACCTCGCTCTCCATGTAGGCCCACATGGTCCGCTCCCACTGAGTTTTCCAGGGCGTGGATGCCGACGCGGGCGGGTAGGTCTTCAGCATCGCTTCGGTCGTTAGCTGCGAGAGCGTCGGGTAGCGCTTGAGGACGGCCTTGACCATGTCCGCATCGGTAGTGACCTGCGCGGGCTTGCCAACGAAGATCGAGCCATCCTGGGCATTATGGCCACCGAGAATGGGGACTTTACTGAACCGCCCAGTCTCCAGAAGCTCGCTGGTGATGCCAACGACGTAGTTCCAGTCGATGATGGGCTCGTACTTGCAAGTCCCGAGCTTGTTGTTCACCGCAGAGACGATAGCGCCGACTAGCGGGGATGGAGTGAGCATCGCAGATCCGGCACGGAAATGAAGCGGACGCACCGGTCGCTTTGCGCAGGCAGGCAACGACGTTGTTATCGTTGGGGCATCCGATGTGCGCAATCGCGTCAAGGAAACACTGCTCGGTGTGGCTGTCGTCGTAGAACGGGTCGTTCCCGGGGCTTTCCATGACAACCGCGCGGAATGGCTGGTAGCGCAGGATAAACGTTGAGCACCAGCCCGGAAAAGGAAGACAGACGGAATACGACGCACCGGGTTGCGCTCGCCACCGTAAGCAGTCATGTGCAGGGCAACAGAGCCTCCGCCGCTGCTCTCCCCGCCGATCGTGACCTTGCTCGGGTCGCCACCGAAGGCCGCAATGTTGCGCTGGATCCATTCGAGAGCCGCGCGTTGGTCGAGGAGACCGTTGTTGGGCCCCGCGGACCGGTCGAGCCGCAGGCCGTTTCCGGACAAGAACCCAAGCATGCCGAGCTGTAAACGACATCAGAAAGCGTGATCAGTGCCAGATCTGCAGAAACATACACGGTATTGGATGGCGACAGCGATCAGACCGCCGTTAGAGCGAGCGACCCAGTCGTTCGCGGGGAAACCCTGGGCCCTGCAAACGCGTCGGCATCACCGCATAAAAAACGCTCACTCAAGAGGGAAACATACGAGTTATAGTAGTGACCTCCACCGTGGATGTAGACGTACACAGGCAGCTTGCTGTGTGGATTCGCGCCAGCGGGCTTCCAAACGTTCAGTGTCACACAGTCCTCGCTGCCGATGCCCACGACGGCCGGCTGCTGGATGCAGATAGCTCCCCAGTTGCGGGCATCGATCACGTCGCTGTTGCTGAGCGATTTGTGGCTCTCGACCAGCTTCTTGGGCGGAGCGAAGCGAAGATTGCCGACGGGTGGCTGGGTGTAGGGGATTCCGCCATAGAAAGTCAGACCCGGGAGGGACGAGTTGCCGGCATAGGCAGCGTAACTGGATCAATACGTAAACACAGAGAGAGCGGACAAGACAAAGGAGCACACCCCAGGTCAACGACGGGACCCAGAGGAGAGGTCAAGGTATGAGAGCGGGGGAAGACACCAGTGTCAAGACTTCGGGCGTTAACGAAAGTGGGGGCGACAAGCGCAGAACCAGCCGCAGCAAGCTGCAGGGCAGAGAAGAGCATAACCAAACGAGAGTGGGATATGAGGAACGGTGAACCCGAAATGCCTCCGGTGCGTTTTTGAATGATTTCCAACGCAGTGGGCAATCGGGGATGGTCGTCATCAATCAGCCGCGGCCCATGGCTAGCGGTAGCGGTAGCGGTGCGCTTGGGTGCCTTGTAACCTGCGACTGTAATCGTTCCTGAACCGCTCCCGGGCATTCCATAGACTTATCCCCATTTTGCGCGTAAACCGTGGTAGCAAGAACTGATCTGAGCTGGGAGTACGGAAATGGCAACGTGACGCCGAGATATCACATCATCGTGACAGATAACGCTCGCTGATCTGGTCCGGCCAACCTGCGGTTGCGACTCACGCGCTGCTGTTGTCATCTACAGCTTTTACACATCCGCAGGCCTGGAACTCAGGTTGACTAACTGGACACAGACGGTAGTTACAAGGCCTTCGTTCAAACCAAACAGCTGCTGGATCCCGTCGTCAATCGCCAAGCTTCCGCTCGGGTGCCATGCATGCATTTCAACCTCGCGAGCCGTCAGTTTTTTTTTACCACGGCCGTCAGTTTTTCTATCGCGGCCGTCTCTTATTTCTAACGGGCATGTCATCAGTCCCACATGGCTGATGCGGGACCTCGCGCCACGGCCACTGGACCCACCCACGGACTTACAGCGCAAGGCTTGGCCTTCATTGATATCCGAAGCAGCCGTCCAAACCCCCAGGTCTTCCGAGGCCACCGGGCCCTGGAAGTGAGCAATGAGCATTTATTAGGTGTGTGGATAGGCGGGACTTGGCGCTCGGCTGGAGGTCGTAAGATAAAAAGGCATCAGGTGCACGGCATCAGGGACCCATTCCGCGTCTCGTTGAGGGACGGGGGCCGGGCACTGCATATAATCACACGGCGGAGGAATGGATCTCCTATGAGGCAGCGAGGGTGTGTGATGTTTTGAGATGTGCAACACTCCAACTTTCCGGCTGTTCATTTTATATGCTCCTACTTTGTACTCGAAATTCATCGAAAAGAGCAAATTGCGTGTGCTCTTTGTCTGCACATGATATTTTTTTCAATTTGCGGACAACTGGGCTGCCAGATTTCCTAGTCGTGGCAGTGCACCAAAAGGCTGTGGCTGTACGATTAGATAGAGCAGTGCTTGGTCTTATTTGCAGATCAGGGCGACCAGCACTCATCAAGTAAGACTGCATGCATGCAGATTCTTTGGACGTCCGACGTTTGGCTCGCCCTCGCCCTCCCCTGCACCGTCACATTCATAATTTGGCGCCTCTCCCTTCTCCCCCGCAGCTGGGCGGAGCTGCGTGACCTGCTCGCCCTGCGGTCCCTCGACGCCGCCGAGGCGGGCGCCTTCTCGCTGCAGCGCGCGCACAACGCCTTCGCGCGCTACCGGCACCTGTCCACGGCCGAGTTCGCGCATCTGCGCGCGGCGTACGCGAGCATCAGCCGCCCGCACAAGCGCCTCGGCTACACACTCGGTTACCCCGCGAAACTCGACTCGCTGGCGCAGGTGACGGACGCCAACGGGCGCGTCACGGACGCGATTGCGAGACTCGCCGAGGACGACCTTGGCTTTGACGTGCCGCCGCGCGGGGGGTCCTCCGCGGATTTGATGCGCGTGAGGGAAGCGTTGAAGCACTACGTGAGGGACTGGAGCTCCGACGGGAGGTCGGAGCGCGATCATATATTCGCTCCGATTCTGGATGTCCTCCGCGCTGTCGACCGACGGGAACGTGAAAGCATGCGTGTCTTGGTGCCCGGGTCGGGACTGGGGCGGCTCGCCTGGGAGATCTCAGAACTGGGTGGGTCGTGCTGTGCCATGCACGAATTGTCTGACTGACCAATGGCATTCGAGGCTTTCTCACCACCGCCAACGAGCTTTCGTATTTCATGACGCTCGCGCTGCGGCTCCTGCTCTCAGAATCAAGGACGAGTGCCATCGACCAGCACACGATCCATCCCTACGCCCACTGGTTCTCGCACCAGCGCTCCTCGTACTCCCTCTTCCGCCCCGTGTCGTTCCCGGACGCCCTCCCGCGTCTTTCTCCGACGTTCGAGCTGCTCGAGAAGGACTTTCTGACCCTGCGCAAGCCCGCGGCGTCCGCCGGCTACGACTACATCGTCACGCTGTTCTTCATCGACACGTCGCTGAACGTCTTCACGACCCTCGAGCAGATATACCACCTGCTCCGCCCCGGGGGGACGTGGATCAACCTGGGGCCGCTCCTCTGGACGAGCGGGGCCGAGGCCAAGGTGGAGCTCAGCCTCGACGAAGTGCTGCAGGCCGTGCAGGAGATCGGGTTCGTGATTCAGGGGCAGGAGGATGGACAGCGGAGCAGAACGGTCGAGTGTGAATACACGGGCGATTCTCGTGCCATGATGCGCTGGATCTATAGAGCGGAGTTCTGGGTTGCGCAGAAACCGGAATGAACTACTTGAATGCAGGATCTTGACTGGCCACCCGCGGGCAATGAGGCCTTGGCTGCGACAACTTGTGTGATAATACCTGCTAGCAGTGTCTCAGGGTCTCGTTCCCAGTCAAGCACTTTTCACTTGGGTGTCAGAACCTTCCGAAATTTGCCTTCTATGTGGCGTAGGGACAATCGCATTCGAGAGAACCAGGGATGATAGTCCCACAGTAGGGTTGGAATGTGACCACGCACAGATCCTGCGTACGCGGTGGCAGCCTTCGAAATCGAATTCGGACTCCGAACTGGAATTACTTAATATATGAAGCACGGCCTGTGTTCAATTCTTACCTCCCACAGGCGCTCAAGCAGCTTTGGTACTTCTCATCAGAGTCTCACTTAGCCTTCCATGGCCTGGAGTCGGGGGTCCACTGCTGTGGCCGTTTGCCAGTACTTAGGACGCCAAATTATGTGCGGTTCGACTCTGCATCATGATCATGCGGAAACGCCCCGGTTCGACAGGTGCTGATGGGCATTTTGCAGGCGACCACTCGATCCTCGCACGCACGGGGATCACATCTTTGACGACCAGAGCGCATCTGAATTCCACCTCGCTGTGCTCCTCTGATGTCGAATTGGATTCGAGGGTGATGAACAACAGCCACGTGCCCGTTCAACTTCCGCATCCGGTGAATAATTAGCTGCTGGATCGAGATGCGGTAAATAGCCTTTGCGTGCGAAATATCCGTGGGGGGGAGTGGAGAGCACTTTACCCTGAGACATGATGCGGTGTGCTCAATCAATCCATGGCCAGTCTGACGAGTATAAAAAGCCGCAGCCTGCTGTCTGGCGTTGTCCTCTACTGTTATTTCTTGCTCTAGTCTCCGCCATGTCCTGGTCGCCGTCGTATTACTCATCTCTCCGGGGCGTGTTCGGTGAGCCACCGCCGCCACCGCCGTTGGAGATCCATCAGCCGCGGCCCGTGCTACCCACGAGCCAAATTGTGTCAATGCTCAAACACCACCCGCCACCCAACACGAAAGACGTCGAGATCGTAGTCCCCGCCGACGATGAGTGCAGCCGCTGCCCGGGCCCCCTCCACAGCATACGCCCGGAAATCCACGAAATTCAGACCGCGAAAGTCGGGCGCAAATGCGGGGGTCGCATGTGAGTGAGCTGCCGCTGTGCTATCTCTCGGCCTGATGCAGCGAGCCTCGTGCGCAGAAGTGTCGCGGTGGATAGACGTCCCTTGGATCCGCCGCCGGGTGCATTTTGCTGTGTTGTCATTCATCATGAATACGCCTCATTGATCGCATCCTCGTGACTCCAGTGGTGCAGCTTCGATTCTTCGCGGGCGATAGCACGGACGCAGAGATCACAGACTACAGGCGAGCGCGCGCGCATTGCGATGTGCCCAGCGAAACTCCCGCGACTCACTTCTCTCTCTCTCCGTGCTCTGCAGATCGGTCAACTGCGACAGCTTCGTCTGCCAGCCAGAGCTGTTCAGGTATCTGCCAGAGCTCGATCCACGCACCGGCCTCCCTCCAGACCAACTCGGCTAGTGCATGTGTTGCGTGACCTGACTGTCTCCTGCTGACCCGCGCAAAAGATTCTCTCGTCTGCAGGAGGGCGCTGTCAGAGATATCGGTTACGAATGCGCGTGTTATCCAGCATGAGGGTGCGGCTATGGTCGTCTTCCCGTTCACGGTGCGTGGTTCGCTTCGTTGTGCTGCGGATGGCATCCCTGACGCGCGTTCCAGGATCTGTCTTCGATGGAAACCGGCCGTTTTCTCTTCAGGTGCGCAAGGAATGATGCGTTGACGGGGAAAGATATGAATGTGATGCGACCCCGCGGCACAGATACCGGCTGTTCAACATGGAAGATACCGCTGCGTCCTACGTGGGCGGCCATCGGGTGCACCGGATCGTGGGCGAGTGTTGGGGCAATCCGTTCCAGGTGTATTCCACCAAGGACGTTCCCCGCCTTGAGGCTTCGACGGAACTCACCAAGGTCTGTCACGAACCCATCCGTCATCCACAGATCCAGGCCTCATGTCCGTGCCTTGCCAGAGTCTGAGCGAGGCGGGCATTCCCGTATCCGTCCGGCGCGCAGAGCGGATTCGGAAACGCAAGGGCATCCCCCCGGCGCAAGCGAGCCATTCGCCCGCCACGTTGGCGAGCGACGGATAACGATTCGAGAGCTTAACGTTATGCTACAGCCTGTTGCGCCAGTATATCTCTCTTTAATATCCATGCGCGTCAGGTCACCCCACCGCGAATTGCCTCATATGGACAGGTCATGAGACTGGGGATAAGCCACTTGGCATAAACGAAAAGTTTTGGAAAAGTGGACGCCCGACTGGTGGGAATTAAGATGCTCTCTACACGTTGACCAACCCACATGTAAAGGAGGAATAGATAAGCGTGAGATCTGAGATCGCAAGCGTTCGACATGGAAGCGTCGGAGTTGAAAAAATCTCATACGTCCTGGGATTGCCATTACCATTCCAGCCCTACATTGCGCCCGCTTTCGATGCAGTCCCCGACGCTGACGCCTTTCACTCCAGCGCCGATAACCTCTATCCTTCCCTGCCACAGATCTCCTTTCAAAGCTTCCTGGAGCCGCTCCATGCGAACCAAATGCCCGGGCATCGGCATCGGGATGCAGTGTCTGTTCTCCCAAACTTTCACGGCCAGCGGCTCGGGGAAGGGCTTGCTGCGGTTCAGCTGATACTGCAGGTGGGCGAGCACAACCGGGATGCGGGTATCCACATTCCGATGCGGGCCACCCATCATGACAGTCACCTTCGTGATCTGCTCCCCTGGCGCGAGATTGTCTTGCCCCGACAACGCCTCGCTGTCGAACACCACACCGAGAATCCCAGCCTCATCCACGGCGTAGTCGTTCTGGGGTCGAGGAACCAAGTATCCAAACCCCCGGGGCCAAATCCGTTTCCCAGGGAAGACGAGATTGATCGAGGTCACCGAGGAATACGGGTTAGTTCTAAGGTATGGCAGCTCGTGTGTTGCCGGAAGCAGCTGATGGAGAATGGGAAGCGGCAGGGCAGATACGACATGAGAGGGCCTGACTGGATTGGTTTGCTTGGTTGTGATCTAGAGCCCGTGAGCCAGGCATTAATGAAATCGCAGGCGATGCCTTCACGTACCTCGAAGCCTTCTTCATTCAACTGTAACGACTCGATCTCTGTCTCAGTCATAATGCCAACGTTCGGATTCTGCCGGATCGCACGAGTCAGTGCCTGCGGAAGGCTGCTCATCCCGTCGCGGAACGAGAAAACCGCAGCTCCCTCTACGAGCGGCATAACATCACCCAGCTCATACCGTTGACGGTCCTCCTCCACCTTGAGCTTCTCCTCGTTCCTATCCTGGCGCGATCGGGTAAGGAGGCCCCACAACAGCCGGCCGTTCCCCTTCTCCTCCATCTCCCACAGCTTCGGAAACGCCGCACGCACGCTCAGCAGGCGCGCGTCCGTCGCGTATATCCCGTGCACCAGCGCGCTGCCCAGGATCCGCGCGGTGACCGGGTGCATGCGGCGCGTGAGGAAGCTCTCGAGCGACTCGTCCACGATGTCCGCGGGCCGGTTCCACCCGCGCACTAGCTCGTTCACCAGGCCCGGCGTGATGAAAAAGCGCAGCTCGGACCACAGGAACGAGAGCGTCGGGCCCGGGATACGCCAGATGCCCGGTGTGCCCGGGACGTGGAGGAACCGCCGCTTGGCCGCCGCCGACGACTTCGGCGTCGTGAGCAGAGCGTCGGAGAGCCCGAGCAGGTTGATCTACACCTGAGACGCGTCAGACGGCTGCGGTGGTGGGCACAAAAAAGCGCGCAGGGGCACGTCACCAGCTCTAGCACTGCGTTCGAGTTCGGCCGGAGGGTGCGGGGACCCCCTTCCAGGACGACGGTCCCGCGACCGCCGGGAAGTGGGACACGCGCCGTGTTGGCAGCCCAGCCGCCGAGCTGCTTGTTTTTCTCAATGATGGTAATTTTGCATGTTGGAAACCTCCTGGAGAGGTGGAAAGCGGACGAGAGACCCGAGAGCCCACCGCCGAGAATGGCGATGTGCTGGGGCGGCATCTAGAAGAGATGATGTGTTATGTATACACGTGTTTGGCGATGTGCTTTGCATTCCTTTCCAAGGCGCGATAAATACTTTTACTACTTGGTGGGTGCGAGCACAAGGCAATAAACTGGATAAAGAACACATAAACAACGTATTACACATTGGCGCGGACTGAAATCCCCGCATTTTCCAGGATCTGCTTGAGCGAGTGGTTCGCAGCCAGGGCCTGCAGGTTATCCGAGCCACCGATAGACTTGCCCTGGATGATGACATTCGGGAACGTGCTGTGCTTCGTGAGTCGCGTGAGAAGCGACTTGACCTGGGTCGCGTCGTCTGGTATACGCTGATTAGCCCTGGGAAGCTTGAGCCGAATAAGCGGCCGAAGAACGCGCCTCTGAGATCGACTTCGATGACCTGGGGAGGCGGAGAAAGATCATAAGACGCCAAAAGCTCCTTTGCCCGTCGCGAAAACCTGGGTTTGCGTGTGGGACGGGAATGAAGAAGCATCCAGGGGTATTGAAACTCACGGGCAATAAGACTGGGAAAGACGATCAGACACGGGAAAACACGTCCAGACGACGTGCATACCTTGCTAAAGACAACCAGGGGGTACTTCTGGTCGAGCTCCTTGGCACGCTTGTTCCAGTTCATGGCCTTGGCCCCAGCGGCATACAGACTCATATCCACGGGCTTCGTGGGGTCGAAACCCTCCGTGTGCCCCAGAATGTGCTGACGGTCCTCCTCCGGGGAGGTCACGAGATGAATCAGGCCGTATATCTCATCGACCGGGTCGTTCGTGCTGTTTCTTGCAAACTGGGCTATGTTTGCGCGTGAGAGATTCGGTACGTCCTTGATTGCCTCGGGCAGTTGGAAAGGCGAACCGAAGTAGTATATCAGGCCGAGCACGGAAAATATTAGGACCCATGCCCGACGACGACGAAAGAACGAGGAGGCGGACGACATGAATAGGTTGTGGAGAGATGGAAGGGATCCGTGCTCGCTGACATTCTGGCTTCGTAATCGGCACCGCCACATGTCAATATGTGTTCGCTTTATCACGGTCTGCGACTACTGGCTACACTGGTGCAAATCGCAAAGTCCAACGGGCGAGTCTGCCAAAAGAAAAATGCGCGGATAACGAAATTAAGCGAAGGACCTTGATACTATCATATGGATCGGATTGCGAGTCCGGCAGCAACATCGGCCTCCACTACCCTGTCCTTGCTTGCAAAGTATGACAGGCAGTTCGACGAGTCGTAGGATGATCCAAATTTCTGGCCATTCAAGCGGTTTGAGATCTAATTCACTTGAGCCATCGCGGAACGCTGTATCATACTCGACCAATTTGATCACCGCCATCCGTCCTTCGGTAGACCGAACAATCTTGCTTGGTTCGTCATCTTCTAAAAGATATTGTTTACTGACAATGGCTGACACTCGTAGAGCTTGAAGTAAATAGGCAAAGCTATCTGGCGTGCAGCTAGACGGGCTGTATCGGAACTCAGGAAAGCGAACTTTTTAGTCAACAGCGCCATTCAAGTCATTAACTCAAATTGACCTGTGGATCAACATCCCAGATCCTCGACGTCTTGCAGAGCCATCCAGATGAAGAGCCAGCCAAGATGTTGTCGGGAACTCGGGTGCACAAATCTGTCATTGCGGCAGCCCTAGTTTGCCGTACACCTCAATAGCATTGACGGGGAGCTTAAATCCAGAGCAAGTGGTCGCCCGAATACCTAAAAGGGCTCACGCACAATCAAGTCCCTCGAAATGGTGTCAATAAGTGCCGACAGGTTCTGTGAAACCGACTTCTGAGAGGCTTCAGATCCTTCCTCTGTGAATCGGAATCGAAAAAGGTTTCTGAATATCTTGAGCCCGTTCAACAAACGTGTTCGAGGCTTCCTCTGCTGATTTCTCGCTGAGACACATCCGGGATATGAGGAAGAACGAGAATTGGGGACCCGGTTGAGCACGAGACATAATCTCAATGCTGCATACTGTGTGCTGCGGGAGGAGCACGTTTGATGCAACAACGATCTGGGATCCAGGTCAACATAACCGATTGTTATCGCCTGCTCGACGCTGGGAGACGGAGCGATGGTCCCAACACAAGAGGCGAAACGGGCTGAGTGGATCTTATATTTGTCAATGGAAGCGTTGAGCTCGGCCGTCGGAGACCCTGTCTTGGCGATTCTTTGACGATCGATCTCAGACCGCGATAATGTTCTCGAGCTTTGTACCTGCTTCGAGCAGACGGCCGTGCAGCATGTCATGTCAAATCTTTACCCTCTCGAAAAAGCACTGTGGCTTGCCAAAGTGCCCGATCGTGTAGCACTCGGAAGGCATAGTTCGTGGGGAGCGACGATTCCGTGGCAATCGTCGGCGAGAGTCGAGCGAGCCATAGCCAGAAAACAGCCGCTTCGTGTTGCTTGTGAGTACCTCCACGAGCGCGGTACTAATTGATCTATGAGATCGGGCAGACAGTTTCTCAGTGCATTGGAGATGGTGTGAGGTCGCCGTTGAGCAGACACTGAAGTAATTAGTCCATTTCAGCGCAGTGATGCATGTTTGGCCCCGGTGCAGACACAAGAGGCCAGCCTGATCCCCAAAATGAAGATCACGACGGCCCATGACTGGCCCTCAGAAAATGCCTGGCTTCTGCTTTGTGGGACTTGCTCTTTTTTTGCGTGATAATCTGACGTCGTGTTCAGTCCAGAAACCATTTGAGCCGCGGTCGTCCAGCGAGCAAGATACAAAAATCGGCCAACGAGATCGAGAATTCCACTGAAAGTCAGAAATAAAAAGTAAGTCGAAGCAGTCGATCCACTGGTGCAGAATCGGTTACAAGTGAATGAAATTGCACGGGGACACATTCGGACAGTCAGTGCAGTGACCTTCTCTACCAGAAGCAAGGCAGCACTGGCTTTCAATGTCGAAATTCATAAATCAAGGAGGAATATCTTCTCCAGTACGGAGCCAAGAGAACACGCAGGTTGTTATGGCCATGGTTCCAATGTCTCTTCTTCCGACCTCGTCTGTGGGGAGAATGAGCTGAGTCGACGGTCAGCTAATGGATCTCTAGGGTGCCGATCAGGTTGCAATTTGAGGACATGTTCAAGTGAGAGCTTTTCAACGGTGTGTAAGGCGTCCAGGTCAACATTACTTTTGCTGGGACGCTGCCGGGCTCGGATGGGGGGGGGGGGTTGATCACGAAATCTGATTGCATCGACGACGCCGCTGGAAGCCTAGATCACGCCTGTTTCGAACTCCGACAGTTTTCGCCCAAGCTTGACGTTCGCACCCACCCGGCATATTCTGGCGGCAGTGTAATTGAAGGTTATGCCTCCAAAAAACCGGGAAATCCTCTGTCAAGTCTGCTCGGCGAATCAGTTCAAATACACCTGCTCGGGATGCGCAATCGTATAGTTGATTGGTCAATAGCTGTTGTCTCGCGGTCTGCTCAAGAGGAGCTTCCAGCTGCTCGGTGCCGTGTTACAAGAAACATAAAGGTGCTTTAAAAGCGGAATGTTTTCCTGTGCAAAAACTCATGGAACTGTTCGCAGAGACGGAATGCTCACCTGAAAGAACGCGCGAAGTTGCCAGTGAGCTTTTGAACCATATTTACCTGATCGACCGCTCCAAAGCGCGTTTTTTGTCGTCAGTCCACCCTCAGTCATTGGACCCATCTCTCCCTGCCCTCGCCGAACCTTCTGAAGCACCTCCGCCCGAGGACGATGCACCGCCATTGCGCCCGTTGACATCGCTGAACTGGCCCTACGTCCCAGAAGAATCCGCATACCCAGATCCGTTGAAACGAGACGATCCAAAAGCACTGCAAGTGCCGCAATACGAAGCTATCGGTGCGCAACCCTGCGCTTTTAGCTCCTCCAGCAGCTAACCTCCAGCAGCGACCTCTCCCGCGGTCCGCAAAACGCTCGTCGAGCACCCGAATCTGCCCGCCCTCCTCCGCTCCATCGACACACTCCGGGGTCCAGACCGCGAAGACGCGCTGCACCGTGCGCTCGGCGTATCCGCGCCGGACATCTCCGGCGCGAAACCAGGCGCGGGCCTTTCCGACGACGTACTTGCGCTGCGGGCGCTGGCAGAGGCCGTGGAGGCTGCCGTGCGAGGGGGGAAGGAGGGCTCGTTGGGTCTGGACTGGGAGGGTACATAAAACTATATGATTGTACGTCTCTCTTTGACCTCTATCTAAGTACAGTACACGATCTTGATGGCAGGCTACAGTGATTACTCAACACGTATGATAAAGAAAATGTGGGCATGATGATGATGATCGTCGTGAGCGGCAGGTAGCGTCAGTAGATGGGCCGCGACGTCCAGAGCGGGGTGCGCTGCCCGACGACAGTCCCCCCGGCCTGGTGCGGATCGGCGACCCTCGAGGACCTGGCTGTGCCCGGGTCCGATGGCCAGAATGCTGGCGGGGGCGGGAACAGCCCCTGCTGCTGCTGCTGCTGCTGCTGCTGATGGTGGTGGTGGTCCTTTCTGCTATCCGACCACGCCGTCGGATATCTCTGCGACTGGATCGACAGGGGATAATTCGAGCCGTAGGATGGTGCGGCAGCATGCGTGTGCTCGGGGGACGGATGCGCGGGACGCATCGGCTCCCAGTCCGACACGGGGGGCTTGGTCATCGCGACCATCACATTCGGCTCGTAGCCTTCGCGCGACCACGCTGAGCGGTGCGCGGACTGGGGCTCCGACGCGCGGCGACTCTGCGGCAGACCTTCGAACGGGGACATCTTGGAGGGGCCTGGTCTCGGGTACGAGGACGGCTGTTGGTCCGGAAAGGACCCGGCCGAGTCACAGGACCAAAGCAGCTCGTCCTCGGGGTACGTCCTGCGCCGTTTCGGGGGCGATTTGGCGTCGAGCAGATCGTCGTCGTCGTCTTCCTGCTGGAACTCGGGCGTCGTCGATTCTTCCTTGAGCTGGACCCCGCTGGTAGGCCCCTTGTCTCTGATCTCCTTCCGGATGCGGAGTTTGACGCCCTGAGCAGCCAGAGCGCGTGTGAGCGGTGTCGAGACTAATGTACACGGGGATCGTTACAACCGCTGTAGCCTCGCACAAGACCCGCGACGCACCCTGGACCCCCGGGTATTGCTTGCCAGGATAGACATAGAACGGATTGGAGTACGTCGTTCTGCAGAGTTTCACGGATTCACTGAGCGAGGATGGGTTTTAGGATGCCACGGCTGGTGACAGATCGATGCGCGGACCACGCACCCGTCGATCACAAATAAGCTTAGTTTGAATCGCCAGCTGCCTTCGATGCGCACGCAAATGTCAGGGAAGATGAAGAACGCTGCGTCCTGGTCTGAGTTGGGGTGGTCCTTGAGCACACGGATGGACGAGACAAGGGCGCCAGATGTGCTTGGTCTCCCTCCGTCCTAGATCACAGATAAGATAAGCTGGGAAGAAGGGGAAGAAGAAGAACAGAAGCGAAGCAGCGGCTGCGCCGGACTGACACATTTGATCTCGACGTCGTCGTCCTTGGAAACCAAGGCTGCATACATGAAGTAGTACGGATTCGTCAGGTGCGATCTGCAACCACATCATCAGCAGAGGTCCAAGCGTGGTGAATGGCACTCACCCTCGAAGCCCTGCGCCATTATCCTGGGGTTCAGTGACCCGGAGCTGGACGATGATAGGCGGGTCAACAGGCCTACGATCTGCTGGAATCAAGGGTGCATCAGGACCCTCCCCTCCCCTCTGTCGCCGAGCAAGCAGAGAGATTTCTCACCCGAAACCTTCAAGGCCGATATCCTGGCGTGCAAGGGTTGCTGCCGAATCGTCACGTCGTAATTCACACTTAAAACAGCATGGTCAGAACTGGTGGCCCCAAAGCGGCTCAACGAAGGGGCGCGAACTTGAGGTTGGCGGTGGCCATCTGCCGGGGAGAGGCTTGTGTCCTGTGCGGCAAATCTCGTCGAGTGGGAACCAGCGGTACGGCTGGCAGAGTAGCACGGTTGATATCTGGTTTTGTGGGTAGAAGAGGCATGGGCCAAAATAGGACCGCTGCCTCTTTCGACGGAACTTGAGGTCAAGGCGAGGCCCACACAAATGTCGCGATTAACCTTGGAGTGCCTATGTATGTGGGTTCCGTCCGGATAGTTCATTCTCCGATTTAGCCCCTTCAGTCGTGGGTTCCCCGGAAGTTGCCATTCTGCACCCCGAACATATTATGAGACGCCGCCCCCCATCAGTCTACGCACATCGGTGCCTCCCCGCACCCTCCCCGGACTGCGCTCCCCCCATTTCTCGCGCAGACAGTCGCGGAGAATGGGCTCTTGGCGCATTATCTGCAGCTGCAGCAGTGACGCGGCGTGTCTACAGATTGATTCGGATTGTAGCTCGACCCGTTGCATCCAGGCAAGTGATTCAGGTGATAGAGTCAGATAACGACAGAATACCTAACCGGGATGAATGAATCCATCGATAGCAACCTCGCTGCAGACATGGTCATGCACGAAGCTTGACGAACAAGAGACCGTCCACTCGAGATATCGGAGGTGGCCGTTGCCGGATTTCGGCATAGGCACGGTCGGCGTGGCTACTCCTGTATAATTAACACACTATCGTACACAGCGCTGGCAGTAAGAGCGTAAAGAGTATCCCAGGAACGACAAAGCCAGTGGCGGCATAACTCGTTGGCAACCGAGAAGCAGAAGGGGCGGCAGCTGACGCAGGCACAGCAGTCCCCGTCGGCGCGGGTGCAGACACTATTTCAAGAACGTCAGCACCGCAGACAGTCTCGCCGGGTCCGCCCACTCACGAATGGCATCGAGCAACACTCCCCGTGGATCACCAGCGACCTCCCACATCGCAAATCCCCGCAGACCGTTCGCCCTGACGAACGTGCCCTTGGCGGTGTAGCTCTGCGGATCATCGTATGTCACGAGGACCCCACCGCTACCGCTACCGCTGCCACCCGAATTGTTGATGTACAAGTAGGGGACGCTTGCACACTGATCCCATCGATATGGGACGCCGGGTGCCGCACTGCCATTCGACAGCAGATATCCGCCTTGGACGAGTGCCCAAAAGTCCCAGGTCCCGCCAGGTCCTTGATAGACCCCGCACTGATCCACTCCCCCCGTCGAGTCCCACGAATCACCGATCGAATGGTTCAGCGTGTCGTAAGCGGGATACGGCGAGAGCAGCGTGGAATTGGGTCCTACGAAGGCCGCCGATGCATTCACATTGAACGAATGCCCATATGCCGGCATTCCCAGCACGATTTTACTGGCTGGGGCACCACTGCCGACCCACGCTTCGACAGCTGATCGGGCACTTCCTCGACCCGCAAGCCCCCAGAGCCCAGAGCCCGCAGTGCTCCCCGCACCAGCCGTGGCATCCGGCACACTAGAATAACACGAGTCGTCCAGCGGCGAGGACGGCAGCGCACGTTGGATCCGCGGCGACCCTGCGGTCCAGTTCCACGACAGATCGTACACCATCGGCACGATCCAGTCCAGCGCGCCCACGAATTGCGCGATCGTGCTCGAGTTGGCATCCGCGTAAGGCGTCACGGAGGTCGCAGCCGTCAGCGTCAGATTCTTGCCGCTGGGAGAGGCGCGCAGCTCCTCGAGCATGAGCACGAAGTTGGCTGGATCATCGGACGAGATGGTGTTGCATCCAACGCCCTGTGTGGCAGGGAACTCCCAGCTTGGTGATCGAGTGAGCACCCTGGGAACCACTGATCGAATGAACAAACGTACTCGAAGTCGATAAGATCGAGTCCGTACTTCTGCACGAGACTCGTGACACTTTTCACAAACGCGGTCCTATTGGCGCTGGACCCGAGATTGATAGAATAGAACTGAGATCCTCCCCAACCGCCTATCGAAAGTCCGGCTTTTACGCCCTAGTCAAGTATCGTGAGCAACAGAAGACAAACAAGCGCCACGGGACACATGGACACACGCACATTTCTATGGGCAGCAGACACAAATTGCGGCAGAAACTGGGCATCCGAATCAGCCAACGAGATCGCTGCCGGGTCTTCTGTGGGGACGCTGCATGTGTCTCAGGCTCTAAATCGGCAGACGTCCAAAAGACCGAAACTCACGCAAACGCATAGGTCATGTGCGTGTACTTGTCCCACAGGACAGACGTCAAAGGGAGGTCTGTGGCGTGCCACCCGGCATACCAGCCAGCGGCAACCGTGTAGTTCGCCGCCGCAGCAGTGGCGCCGGCAGCAGCAGAGACCTCTCTGAATGTGCCAGCCAGAATCCAAGTCCAGGTCCATATCCAAAATCCGGAAAAAATCATCGCGGACGAGTGGGGTGGGGTGGGTGTAGACGGCAAGGCGCTGGCTCCACGTTTGCCCCACAAGCCTGCAGGAGCTTAATTTGCGACTAAAGGTGCCGTACACGGAAGCAGGGCGTTTTCTGAGCGCTGCGGATGGGTGGGCGAGAGCGGCGACCAAGGTGGGTGGAAGAAGCAAGAATTGCAGCGGACAAGGCGGAGCCCGCCGGTGTTCGGCCGAGGACTCGAGCCACCTGTCGTAACGTCATCGTCCAGGAAGTTCGCAACAGAGTTTGGGTTTTCTGTAGCGGATGCAAGCTTGCATGGCTTTCGAGAGGAGGATGGGGTCCGCGATTGACGACGTGTGCAGTCGATTCTCATGAACGCGGTGGCGGGCTGGGCGGTGATCAGATTCATATTGTCGGATCACATTTCGTGCCGGGCCGATCATCCGTAAGGCTCCTTCGATCAACCGGCGATCTCGGTCAACTCAGAACATGTCGAAGTGCGGCCTGTTTCAACTTGTCTTGTCCAGTTCGAGTTCCTATGCCTATCATGCACGCAAGCCCGTCACTTGCCGAAATCAAATCGACCACTACATGCTGAAGGCAAGTAAGATCTTCGGTCCCGAACAGCCAGGGACTGGGCCTGGAGAGTCATATCGGGCTGCGAACAGTGAGAGAAGCTTGCCCTTCTGAGATCACAGATTGGGATGTCTCTGGCGGCAACTCGGGAAAACTTTCTCTTTGGCTTGTTAGGACTGATTATATCGCCTGTCTGAATCTCTCTCTCGCTCCACTCCATCTTTTGTGCATCCTGCCACGCCGTAAGATGACCAGGGGCGGAGTTTCAGAGCACTAGAGTCAGTATGTCTGCCCCGGTAGATCTAAACAAACTGCCGGCATCTCTGTAGCTATGCACTTCGCTCTGGCACGTAGAGGCAGCTGCCCAGGCACATCATGCTTCGTCAGAAGCTCAGAGCCTCGAGGAAAATGCGTAGCTTTCTCACACACGGCATCCCATCGCCCTGTCCGCATGCTACGGGGAGCGCAGGGCAAGATAGTATCGACGAAAATCATCGATCAACATCGCAATGCATCATTCGGATTAACTACATAGGACTTTTGTTGCATCTGAATCGAAATCGACAAGCAGCGAAAGCAATTAGAGAAGTGCCGGAGTGCGTAAGAGTAGCAGCAGACTGATGAAACTTTACGTCCGATTCACGGTGCCAACAAACTTTGCTTGCTGCTTTCCTCCTGGACCGCGTCACAGTAGGCCCAGACGACGCCTTCCCCATCGTGGAAATCAACTCCGTCCTTCTCAAATCGCTCGCTCCACCAGATGAACACGTCCTTCAACAGCGTATCGGCATCTGCATCAACCATAAATCCGATCGTCTTGACTGTCTCCAGTCCGGGAAACGCCGCGCGCGTGAACGAGCGAAGGTGGTTCTGCGTCTCGTTCGGGCCTTTCGATGGGTAGAGAGAATCTCCGCGGACCGAATAGATCGCGATGCGGCGGAGCGCAGTGTGCAGATGCGGCTCGGACACGGGCGACGATGGATCGAAGACCAGCACGGACGAGTGGATTCCGAACGTCAGTGTGTCGAGCAGAGGGCACGTGTTGGGCGTGAGGAAGACTGCCGGTGGGATGAGGAAGGTTGATGAACGCATGTGCGCATGGGCTTCGCTCTCCGAGTTGGGCACGGGGAGATGGACGGTGGTCAGCCTTGCGCCGTGCGCATCTAGCAGAGATTCCACCACTGGGCAGTCGTAACGCGTGGCACAATGTAGAGTCAGAGTGCACAGTGAAGGCAGCAGCAGCATCGTAGCAGTCTTAACATTCGACGGATCATTGGAGAGAATGAGATGCGTGAGGGATGGGATCTCCGTCCTCTCAGCAGAGGACTGGCTCTGATCGGCGGAGAACTGGCGCAAATCAAGGACACGAAGCACACTGAACGAACCAAGAAACTCAATCGGTGTCCGCGCCTGCATCTCGTTCCAACACAGCATCTGCAAGCTCGGCCCGTACAGCGCCCGCACAGCAGCAACAAACTCGACCGGGACCGCCGTCCTCGTCCACGTCGCGTTCAGCACGCGGGTCCGACGGCAGTACTGAAATATGCGGAAGAGATTCTGCAGGTAGCGGATATCGTTGCATCCGCGCGCGTGTGCGCTGACCTCAATGTAGCGCGTCCAGTACCCCGGTTCCTCCAGTGAGCTGCGAAGCGTCTGGAGCAGCATCGCCGCACGCGCCGGGCTCCTGATATCTAGGTGCTGGTAGAGAAGCTGCATCGCCACGCGCCGCCACGCCCGGCAGACGAGCACGAGCGCGCACTTGGTGCGCATCGCCGCGATGGGCGCGTTGCTCCCCGCGACGTCGTGAGGCAGCTTGGCGATGAAGGGATCCAGGGGCTCGAACGTCGTGGACGAGTAGACGTACGTCGCCCATTGGAATATCTCCAGCCAGATCTCCGGTGGAAGCGTCGGCGGACGCCGCAGGGGTTGCAGGGGGAACGTGGCCGACCACACGCTAGGAGGGTCACCGTCATCATCATCGTCAGGGTCACAAGCAGTGATGAGTATACCAGGTGAATGGGAACAGAGTTCCGGGCAGACGACTCATGACGCGAAGCATGTTCAGTGGTTAGTTGGTGGCAGTAGCGCAATGACTCTAAGAGCATACAAGGGGCTGCCAGTTACGTCAAGCCTCCCAAAAGGGGCATTTATCACGTGAATGAGTCACGCACGTCACGCATTCTTGGAGGCTGACAGTGAGGTTGAACCAATCATATCGAGCCAGTCATAAACTCCTGAGTATTCCTGATTTAATAGCTTACTGCTGGCCTCAGATGATCGCGACGTTATTCACTGATCCCAACCACGTCCTACACAGGTGCCCAATGACCATCTTAGATTCCGGGAGAACCCGGCGACACACCACTGCTGGCACCTTTATCTATGCCTGTGACCTTTTGTCTGGCCGCGAATCGGCATCCCAGTCCTGCTCTAGGGTTGAAGGAGGATATCCTCACACCGATGGGGATTCTCTCTCAATCGTATCAGCCTCAGTATCTCGTGAGCGACTTGCGAGATTGCTCCTTTGCGTGGCCCGAGAGGTCTGAAATCTGCTGCGTTTCTACCGTCGCTCGCCGAGACTAACGTGAATTCTAGTCCTTTCAATCACAGAAATTCAAACAAGCGCGCTTCACTGGCAAAGTTTTTCGGTGCTTTCAAGACAAGACAAAGTCACGGTGAGGGAGCAGTCAGTGGCAACTTCGGGATCTCGGCGATTGAATTGGATATTTACAGATGTGGCAGGCGAGAAAATCCAATTTCTGCATGAAATGCGAGTCAATAATGTCCTTCCCTTGGGCGGCGGGATACTCGATACCATGGCCCACTCTCACATGCACAACTATCACTTAGTCCTGCGCCCGGACGACATCTGGATCTCAATCGTCCTGCAATTCATCCGCCATATTGACAATCATCCCACCCTCCCCCACACAGTGTACCGGATTCCGAAGGCGCAGCTAAAGCCCACAATCCACGTCGGTCGCAAGGCCGACGACCGCACTCTCGCCGCGGAGCTGATGCGCGTCTGCGAGGGACTGGTCGGCCGCGATGTGGCCGAGTGGGTGCTACCTAGTCTATCGACGACGACTACTGCGGACGTCGTGGTTGCAGCGACCGCGGTCCTCGGTGGAGACCCGTTGAATCACGGCGCAGCTCTCCACGGGGCCCGGCCCTCACCGCACCCCGGTGCCGAGAGAGTTTCGCATGTCACGCTGGCCGGCGCGAAATCCGACTGGTCTGACATTCGGGAACGAGTGGGCCGCCTGAGGTCGTACGATTCCATACAGCTCGTCGCCTGGTCGCATCTGCTCGATCGCGTCCTGGCGCATTTTCTCACGGCCTTCGATTGCGACGGGGCCCTCGCCGAATCTGAGGCAGAGTTCTGGGGCAGAATGTGCACAATAATTAGGCCGTGGGACCGGCAAGGGGCATGCATTTACACCGGATGGATGACTACTTTCTGTGTGTTCGACATTGAGGGTCGATGGTTGGGCCCTCGCCTGAATCCTGTGCGCCTTGTTCAATTCAAATGAACTTGGGCTAATTACTCACGGGAAAAACTCTGAAGCATGCGGATTATTCTACAGATATTGCGTCTCTTCCTTCTGCCGAGTTTTGGGCGACAGTTTGCATTCAAGACCGGGACGATGATGTCTTGCTCGGGAGACTTATCGACGGAATCTGGTTCCACAATCTAGACCCGGAACTGACTTCCCTTTCGAACTCATTCTCCGAGCTTGCGATTCTAGTGTCCGACTCGAGGTCATCGTCTGCAACTTCACATGAACCTGCATCAAGGCGGTGCATTCTCAAGGCATCCGTGCTGGGTATCCGTGTCAGCACAGCAACAAGTGAGAATGAATCCGACACGGTCCGCCCGTCACCTACCTGGTGGATCTATAATCGCAAGATTTTCTATCCGGGACTAGATACTTACGTAGCTTCGCGCGACGAAGGTAACGCTGTGACGTGACCGCAATTAATCTTACCTTTCTCAATTCGAGTATCTCACGTGATCGTGTAAAACACGTGACCTATTGACAAGTTCAACTCGGCAACTTACTAAGGATCTCATCGAGAACACAGATTCGACCTCCTTCTCAGTCTCGATCTGATTCCGAGCTCAGGAACTTGCTGGTTGTCGATCATGAGATGTCAACTGTCAAGGGATTCGAATTCCCTCGGGCCTCAATTGCAGATCCATCAATCCGACATCAAAAGTTTTGACTGGCTGGTCTTTATTTACTGCACCCAAGATTCTTACAACAAGCAGCAAGACTCATGTCGTGCATCCCTTGAACCGCGGCTCACAGAAGCCTCCAACCATTTGATCTTAATCCATCCGATTAATAACACACACACCAGCGCCGGCCAAACCAGTTGCGCGCGTAGCGAGGTCTTGACTGAGCGCCCTTTCCCGCCGCCATCATCGTCTCTGTTGCCGAGCCTGCATTTGCCGTGCTCGCCGTCCGTCCGTCAGCATCCGGCCCGGCTCCCGAGTCTTCGGTTGTCAATCTCAATCTGCTACAGCCCAAACTACGGCGCGTGATGGGGCGGGCGGGCCAGATTTACGGAACGCTGACAGCGAGCATCGCCGCAGAACAATTAGCCGCTGGATAGGGTGTTCGCCGTGAAGGCGAACATCTTCTCCCTCGAGCCCGAACAATATGTCTCTCACTATGCGCTCCTTCACAAGGCCGACCCCGACCATGCTCCCAAGAGCCGCACCCCGGTCTTTGCCAACTTCCCCAACTCCGAACGTTTCAAGCACGGTAAGAAGCCAACTCCTTACGTGGGACGTCTCATTTCGGTCTCCGGTTTCATTGTGGGGATGTACTCGACCTTCCCGGAGGGCAGCTCGATTCCCAAGCTTTTTTTCAAGTTGGAGGTCGACCAGATCTCATTCCTCGGTCATGGTGGCAGCACTTCCGGACCCTCAACTCCATCTCCTGCACCTGGAAGATTGACGCAAGACAGCCGTGAGTGCCTCGCATCCTGTCTTTGACTGTATCCATCTCACTCTTCTCGAAGCTGGAATGGCAGTGTTTGACAAGTACACTAAGAAGCGCAAGCTGGCCGCTGCCAAGAGTGTTGATTCAGATAGTTCTCAGGTTGTGGGATCCTCGAAAGGCACGCCTGCTTCATCTCCCTTTGCTTGAATAGTACCATATATCTGGGAACACCGTTTGCAATGATATCCCCTGCGTGAAGCTGTGTCACGATGTCGTGTGAAGGAGGACCTTACATGCTTGGCACTGCGTTGATCAAGATACGTACTCAAGATAGCCGTAGCGCTCTATAAGGATCGTTGCGGAGCACGAGTACCTGCTAGTCGTCTACATAGCACGAGCAATTTTGGATGAATGAATGATTGTGGGGTTTCCTGATTTTGATAATGTCGGTGCTTTTTACGTGTCGAGCAGTGCAGATGATCTTACAGGCTAATGCTGGCTGTCTAACGCGTGGAAATTCGCCGCCGGCGGAGAGGCGCTACATAACTGGTAGGCACCAAGTATCATTGGAGACCCAGAGCAGGGACTGAGAGTGTAAGACGGATATGAATCAGTAATCTTGCCGATTACCTCCGGGCTGCATCGCTTGGCCGGGGGAGGGAGGCCTTACTATATGAGTCTAATCGAGGGCCAGCACATGTTTCCAGACAAGACGCTGGCTGAGCTCACTGATAAGAAGGCCGATAATCAGCATTTCTCGTGAAGCTTTAGGCAGGATTCACAATTTTAAAAGGCAACGCATGTTGGGCATCGCGGGGAGGGTCGATAATCCTATCATAAGGGACGAAGGTGTCTGCGACGCTTTAACATTGCTGCCGACGCACGACGCCCGCATGCGCCATGCGTCAATTCTCGTCGCACCGAATATTCTGTCGCCCGACCGGTCCAGGTCCCGACAAAAGTCCAGAACTCTAATAGACGTCTGCGCGCCCGGCGGAAATGGCGGAAGCAGATCGCCTGTGCCGCAGAGCCAAACGCCACCTGCCCCCAGATGGCAGACGAGCCAGGCAGTGTTCCTGAAAGTCGGACGCAGGCTATCTGGCGTTTAATTACATGCGTGCGTTGTCAAGAGGGAATTTTACAGACAAGAACTAAACATGAGCCTGTCAAAAGTACATCGCCCGCCGCCCGGGCGCACCGTGCTCCGCTGACGTCAGGTCACGGACCCGCCTTGAACAGCTTCAGGGCCGTCTCGTCCATCGGGTGTCGCCGTGGAGGTGTCATGTTCTCCAGATACTCCAACGGCGCGAGAACCCCGGGATCTGGCGCCGGTTCAGGAAGACTCAGATGGCGGAAATGTGATTTGTGAGGAGTGACCGCGTCAGATCCTCGCCGCCTAAGCTGCTCAGTGGAAGGATCTGTGCCGTTCCAGGTTAGCGACCGCGGCATATACCGGGGCGATGGTATTGGTGGGGGATTAGAGTTGTGGATTTTCGGCGTCGACATTCGCAGGTGGAGCGTGCTGACTGTCGTCTCTGGACTCGAGTCGTCCGGATTGAATATGTGGTCTGGCCGCCCCTTGACAGACCGTGCGCTCTTGTATTTTCCGTGCGGCACGTGTAGCGCTTGAGAGCGATAATGAACTCGAGAACCGGACCAAGGGGAGGGCGGGACTTACACGCCAAGGTCGGATAGTCGTCTATGCAATGCAGACGTTCGATCGAATCTTCTGTGAAATAAGCGACTGAACCAATCAGCTCGGTGCAAGTCTTAAATAATTGACGACGCACTTAGATGCCATTTTCTCTGCCCCCGGGGAGTCTCGACGAATGCTGTGAACGTCTGCTTGCAGAGTAGGCTGCTGGTGTTGTGCTGGCGATGAGAGGGGCTGGAGAGAAGCGATGTCAGCGATCAGAGACAAGCGCTGGGACATGTCCATCAATCACTCACTACATGCCACCAGGGAAAACGTAGTGTGTCGTAGGCTTCTCGTGATAGAATAGAAAGCCCTTCAATCGCGAATGAGGTGGAGTTGCGCAATCTAGACAGCACACGCACCTCCCGTACTCGCGACGGCCCCCATCGTATTCCTAGACAAGACCTCCAGCTGAGTCGGCCAAAAGACAATCAGGGAGACTCACCATCTGTCCACCGCTCGATCCCGACCTGACGTAAAGCGAGTGAGAAACGCGCAGGACGCGTCGGATAGTCTCGCACTCACGCCCGTAATCTCGGAAGTCGTGCCCCGCTCTTCCCATACGTAAACAGACCCGGGAACGATAAGCCCTCGCTCCTCGCTGTCGAGTCTCCGGGTGACCATGGGCAGAATGTCGAGCAGGACGGCATGGAAGATGATGCGCACGTCGGCGGGCGATCTGATGCGCAGATTTGTGCAGGTCGGGCCTTGCATGGATGCGGGGAGGGGAGGGAGGAGGAGCTGTGAGGGACGCTAGGGTTCTGCTCGAGTTGCTTTATGAGTGGTGCTGGAGTTGCCGTTACTGCCGCCGCCGCACGGAACCAAATGGAGCTGATGGGGTTGGGTTGCAAGGAGCTGGTGATCATTCCGCCTCCAGTCATCAAGTATACATAGCGGTTTCGTGTTTGGATCGGTGTCAAACCGGCACACTCCAATTTAGGTTTTAGGGATGGGAAACAAGCTCGGAGGCCGGCTACATAGTCTGGCTGGGATCATGCAGGCCCTGGGGGTTCCCGATCAGGTGCGCCAAAACAACATTACATACAAGATGGGCTCTACCCGATGTCAGATGGGCTCTGATAATCGTGAAATGGTTCGAATTGAGCCCGGGGCCTCGCCGCGGAAAAATCGGACAGCCCCGCATAGTTGTCTAGTGCGAGACAGCTAGAGCCACTGCCGGCAAAGGAGAGTGTGTTTACAGAAGAACACTGGCGACAGTAGCTTCTTTCCCGGCCGTTCAAAATCCCTCTCGTTTCCAAGCATCCGCTGCTTCCCCACCTTCAGGCCCCTGTGTGTGCTCCTGAGCCATGTGCCAACTTATTAGTCCACTGCAAGAGCGGGTTCCAAGAGGAGACAAATTACATCACTCGTTGCCGAGAAAGCCGCGCGACGCCACCAGATAGAATGGCAGAACAGTCTCCGGGATGTCAAGCAAGACATCGAATGTGCTTTACACGTGAAATGAGTAAGGGAGGATGTTCAACTTTAAAACAAAACATGGTGAATCCTTATCACCATCTGTGTACACCACGTCCAGAGTTGGCATGCTGACGGAAGCCATTTATCAACCTTCCATGGATGGCGGAGACTGAAAGGTAGACTGGAAGCCTGCGCTAAACAGGGGAACCCACAAGACAAACCGGAGACTTTGAGTCCCCGTAGGAACCTTTTGATCAGGCAGAAAGGAGCGGAATATTCCCAGGGACCCACGCTCCAAGGACCATCGCTGGGCCTCGCTGCTTACTATTGTCGCGAGCGTAGATGCCGCGAATAGGAGTCCGATTGCAGCTCGTTGAATGAGAATCTTGCTCGGGGACCATGTCTCGGTTTGCTCGCCGGGCATTCAGGGATTATGAGATCGTCCACTCACAGACACGGCTTGGTTCAGAAACTGACAAGTGGCAGCCAGTCAAAGTGTTTGACATGTGACAGACCGGCTCCGATCTCCCGCTGATCCGGATCCCTGACAATCAATACCGCCGCGCCACCCTCCAACTCGACCTCGCCCGGGTGCTGAGGCAGGCAGGCCCTTTTGTCTCGGTCCCTCAACCTGCTCTCAGCTACCGTGGTCACCGGAGCATGAATATTCAAGCAAACTCAGGTCAAACACTCCACTCGGTACCTGATATCACGTCGGGCACAGACGCACTCCTGCGATCATCTGTCTATGCATAACGAACCCGATACAGACCCTCCTGCTTACGGTACTAGCCTCGAGTCGCACTGTCGAGGCCTCGAGTTCTGATCTGCGGCGACGACTCGATGCGGGCATGCTCCCTTACAGTACATGTGTACTGCAGTTTCATGGCTAAGCGATCGGCAACTAGCCACCTCCATTCATCCCCACCCGCCCCTTGTGCCTGCCGAACGTCTGAGATTCCACTCCTCCGATGCTAGCGCCGACGGCACATGCATGAGCGTGGATCCCAGCAACTGTCACATGGATGAAAGAGATCCCCTCGCACACGAATGCGGTCGATGTCGGCCGGCACGTAGCACATATCAGGGCATCCATGAATTATGCACGATTGTATGCGACCCGGAAAAGTACAAAGGCTGGGTGTGTACATGTCGTAGGAGGGTCACTTCCACGTATCTACGCCTCTATAGATGCAAATAAAAGTAATAGTTCAGGCACATAGCGTGACTCTAGCATGAGTAAGATGATAGTAAACATAGCAGTCGTGAAGGGGGGGACCTCCCGCAACCCGAAACCCCAGAAACCGATACAAGCCTGCCGAAAGCCGCCTAGTGGTGCTTGCGGCGCTTCCCTCCTCCGCCGATAACAGCTCCTGCCGCTTTGATAAGCTGCTGTAGCCCGCCATCGGCCTTTAGTTCTCGGACTCGCTCGATCGGGCCTAGCGGCTTCCCAGAGACCAGGACAACGGGCATGTCGGACGCACCAACAAGCCTCGTGAGCATGGGCGCAAGGATCTCGACGTCGTCACGTGTGTCAAGGTCGATATACAAAGGCGGAGGGCGCAAATTCAAGTCATTCAGCATCGCCTTGACTTCCCGGGTAAGCGGCGAGTATAACTGCGATTCGATTTCTTAATCAGCGTCCGACCGGGGATATGTGGCCGGTGGCACGCACCTTGCCGTACACCATCACGGGATTTTGCAGCCAGACGTCCTCCACGATCCGGTCCACTTCCTCCATCGCGTACGGGCTACGGGTGTCAAAGTCCAGGATCAGCTGGGGGTCAATCGGCCGTTGCGGGTCGACGCCGACAGGGATCACGTTCTGGGGCAGGCTGGCTATGAAGGCCGAGACCGCGCCGAGCTCCTGTGTCGCGGTGAGCGCCAGCGGCGGGCGCGTGAACGCGGATTTGTGCTTCGCGCCGGAGGCGGGCGAGCCATGGTGTGCGGCTGCGACGGCTTCCAGGTTCAGAAGCAGGTGTTCTTGGTCATGCGCCGAGATGGGGCGATGCCGCAGGTATGAGTGTGAAAAGGAGATGTCCGTTTGCGTGTAGAAGACGAAGGCGGAGAGGGTAACGAGGCTGATCAATGCGAAGATGGTCCCTCGGCTGCGAGTCCTTGTGTTGAGAGTGGGCACCATGGAGTATGGCAGCGACATGGAGGGAGACTTGTGATGACCCCCGGAGAGAGGTGTGCGACTAGCGGCGGACGGTGCGGACATCTAGTAAAGAGCGTGGGGTAGGGTATGAGGAGGAGGAGGTGCCAGTAGCTGCCCGCTCGAGTAAAGACAGTGTCAGTAACGTTAAAAGAACAAGGCGCTGCTTGTGGTGGTGGAGAGAGACAAATAACTCGACACAATTGTTTTTTGATGAGATCAGCTTCCCCAACCCCTCGCTCGGAAATTTGTACCTGGTGCCAAGCCACATGACGAAATCTTTTGTCGTAAACCCAACTGTAACCCCAAAGAAACTGGGTCGTCAAGACAGAGCTAGACAGACTGGTTTACGTGCACGATAGTCATTTGCAGGCCCACTGTGCAACCGTAAAACTCAGCGGAACATCTTGTACAGCAAAGAGTCTATCTGCAGTTGGGATCTGTTCGGCGACAAATCAAGAACAAGGGGGCGATGAATCACCGCTAATCACATGCGTACGACGTGGCACTAGTCTCAACACTGGCAGGATAACAAAAAGAAAAGACCAGAGTTAACCGAATGCCGCTCCTTCTTTACCAGTGTCAGCGTCTAAAAGACAGGAGCAACGCATTTCTGCGAGCTGCCACGGACGAAGCTACGCGTAGACTTGAGTATGTCGGCCGGTTTGCGGGCGATGTCACTGCGATGCCCCATCGAGTATCGGTAATGTTGGGCTCCCGCCGGTCCACAATGGCTATAGCGGCGCCGCGCCATGGCAACCGGACTCGGTCGTTCATGTGTGACAGGCTCTCTTCATTGTACCGGTCCGCGACGGAAAATGAAGTGCATGTATGCGAGTGAGCGGGGCATCCTTCACGGTCGGCGACTGGGGAGAACTTCTTGCGTGACAGCAGTCCGGCCATTCACGGACACCACTGACGAGACGGTCCACGTGGCGGACCCAATCTGTTCTCAAGTTGCTTCGCACTTGGCAAACGATGTTCTCGAGAATTTCAAGGACTCAGATGATACTCTGCCGATACTTCCATCTCTCATGCTGTACACGCAGAGGATTGATGACTTGGTAGACTGGTGTGGTAGACCGGATTGATACCGTCCATGCCTGGGTAAGTAAGCTGTGCGGTAGCGGTTTACGTTTCACTACTTGTAGGAACATCTTCACGAAACAAAGATGGAGTATCTGACCATCCACAGCGTACATGTTAACATGTAACCTGTATAGTAGTAGGGATATCTGCTGTCTAAGGTTCGCGACCGCGCAGGCAGAAACACCCGTCCCGGTGCCCTCAATACGGAGGAAGACCCCACTCCTCGGGTACAAAATCTTCCAAAGAGACCAACACCTTGTCCGCTCGTTCATCACCATCCAGTGCGACCTCCAGCAGATTTGGGTCTGGCACCCAGACGACTAACAGATGTTTCAGCGGAAAGGCGGCTGGGCGCATACTCACAACGGACCTTTCATCCCAGCACGTTTGCCAGCCTGCATCCCAGATTGAGCGTCCTCAAACACCAACCCTCGAGCGCGCTCCAGCTGCTGCTCCGGAGACACCGCAGACGCCTCGCGGTTCGGCCCGACGTCCCGCCCTAGCACCTCCCGCGCCGCGACGAGAAACACATCCGGCGCCGGCTTGCCACGGATAGCGCCTGCGGCGTCGTCGCCGCAGATCACACCCTCGAACAGCCCAAACAGGTGCCCCAGATGCCCCGTCTTGAGCTCGAAGTTGCGGCGCTTCGACCCCGTGGCGACCGCCATGGGGATCCCGTGCGCCTTCAGGTGCCGCACCAGTTTCTCGGCCCCTGGAAGCAGGACCACGGTCGGCCACAGCGTGTCCTGCAGTGCGTTGCGCTGGCGGAGGTACTCCTCCGTCGTAAGCGCGATGCCCGGGAAACTGCCAAGCAGATGCTCCGCCGCGGCGCGCTCGGGCTTGCCCATGCACCCCGCTTTGATGTCCCAGGTCATCACCTCGCCGTACGGCTCGAGGATCTTGTCTGTGTGCGCCACAGGTTACCACTCGGGCCGGGATATGAGCGGGAGGAGGAAGGATTCACTGGTCACTTGGGTGTAGATGGACTCGGAATCGATCAGGAGGCCTGCGCGATGAGATGGGAGATGTCAGAGGAGAGAATGGCGGCCCCACCATCCATGTCAAAGAGCACGTAGTGGATGTCGAAAGGCATGTCGATTGGGCAGATCAGGTCTCGTTGTGCTCGCAGGAAAAGAGCACGGCCAGAAAGAGCTGGTGATGCCATCAGGACATAGGCCGGCAGTCGTTCTCTTCGATCCAACGGTGGTCCTTTCGTCATGCGCAATGCGGTACTGTCGCACCTGAAGAGCTTTACTCTCCTCATGCTGTGAACCGCCGTTGGTTCACATCCAGCCAAGCCAGCCAAGGCCGCAATCAATTCATCTACCACAGTACCGAAAATCAGAACCCACGGAAACTGCTGCAGCCTCGCTCGCTCTCTGCCCCCTTCTATTCAGTACTAACAGCCTGGGCTCAAGTCTGCATGATACACATGAAACACGGGCAACACAGCTTCACTGCCGATGATCGATGCCAACTGTCCTGGGCGCATGATCCCAGCAAGCATACTTAGTATGTATAGGGCGCGCTCGTCTGATGTGCACCCGTCGGAGCAACAGCCATGTCCAGCCTGCACTCGTCGTCGGTTACTTCGTTCCCTTCGCCCTCGATTAGCTCATCTCACTCCGTGAGGCCGTCGAATGTATCCTCAGCTTCGGTCACGTCGCATATTCCTTCTACATCCGTAGCGTCGCCATCCGCCTCGTCCACCGCGCCCTTGCCCAGTGGTTGCGCTTCTGCTTCCTTCACAGGCTATGGCTCTGGGGTGCTATCAGGCGGGTACTTCGGTGCGTGCGCTGCCAGGTGCTCAGATGTTGTGTTTCTGATCCGTCCGTCTACGGGCACCGCAGGCTGCACCACCTCGCTTCTCCCAGCTCTTGATGCATGCTGTGCCACGGTCGGCAGCACACCTGGCTTCGCCAACAGCACGTGCGGGTGTCCTTACAACTTTGGCTCGTTCCAGCCCAACACCTCCGCGGTGTTCCAGGACTGCGTTGGGCACATGAACGCGTCGTCGATCTGTGCCACGGCAGAAGTGAGCGCAGCCTCATCGTCCCTCGGTGGTGTCGGGAGATGGAAGGTGGCCGGATTGGTGCTCGGCATGGGACTGCTCAGTAGTGGATATCTTGGGTAGATTCAATTGAGTCCCGTTACCCGTTCAGTGAGTATTCGACCGGCTTCGACCCAACCGCATCATACAGCGCCAGAAGTCGCCCCAGCATCACCTTGCCGCGATCGTCCAAACCATCCATAAACGCCGGCTCCTTCATCCACGCTAGGCCGTGCTGCAGTATGTTCCTCGCGCGAACGGATCCCCCTGCGATGTTCCCCATGCACGCATGAAGGGTCACGCGCGGGGCTTTCGAGCTGTACGACGCACAGTGGAGGATGTTCTGGTTGTAGAACACCGTTTCGCCCGCTATCAGTTACAGTCAGCTAGCATGCGGTCACAATGAGGTTGCCAGCAGCACGTTTGAGTGTGACTCGGATCGAATTGGGCATGCCCAGAGGATCCAGAGGCGCATCGTGTCCCAGAGACTGAAGCCTCTGCTCAGGGGTACGGGGAATCTTGTGTGAGCCGGGGACGACGAACAGACACGAGTCCTCGTAGAGCGCACTGAAAATGTTGATTAATTGTCTCGGACCCGCATGCGACCAGGATACTCACGTATTCCATTGAATCTGGGCGGCCGTATATGAGTATGGCAGAAAGGAGCGACAAAGGAGGCACTCACCCCATGCGGCTTCCACGCATCCAACGCAACCTGTTCGTCAGCCTCCGACGCCTCGCTCTTCACGTCGTCGCGGTGCCAGCTCAATGCAAAATCGTGCGCAGTTGGGTTGATCAACAAGTTGAATAACTCTTGCGAAGCATGGCGATAATGAGCGCGTGTGAAGTCCACGAGCTAACAGCCTCACCCATCTGTAGAGACTCTTCCGGACACCCGAGGAGCTCAGTGACCGCATCTATCAGGCGCTGCGAGGTATACCACCGAGCCAGGACACCCGCCGCAGGTCCCAGTTTCGGATTCATGACATGCTGGACGCCCCAAGAGTCAGGATCGTCGTCGCCGTATCTGCTCGCAGACTCGGTCAGTCAGTCGCACTAAAATGAACCGGTTGCGCTCACGGAGGGAACTGTTTCCCGACCACGCGCCGATAAGGCCACGATCCCGCCCGCGTCTGGGCCACGATGTCCGCGCATGCTTCCTCCAGGCGCGGCAGGTCCCCCGCAGATATGAGGCCGGGGATGATGGTGAAGCCGTCCCGCTCGAAGTCTTCGCGGTGTTTGTCCCAATCTATGGTCCCAGAGGGCATGGTGGAGAATCAGGAGTATTGCGCGACTACTTATCAGGTGACCGATCGTTACTGTGATGGCCTATCGCGCATTCGAGGCCGGGTGTCATCTGCATCCGCTCGTGGTTCAAAATCCCGTCGAATAGGATAGTTTTCACGGTCATCAGTGGGCTGGCCGAGCGAACCATTCGTTGCTTGCTGAAAGACGGACGCGCAGAGAATGGGAAAGACACGATCACCTGATATAGTTACGTAATTGGCAATCGATGCGCGCAGGCCTTTGACATGGGAGGGTTCAATCAGTACGTATACAACGAAGTGCTTGGATCTGTTCCTTAATTCCTCTGATTCATATAGTAATAACTTTTATTCTAATGCTAACAAAGTGCAGACGTCCGCAAAAACAGTATGAAACCTCATCTCGCTTTGAAGATGATGGAAGCAGGCGGCCGCTGAAGAGGGGATCAGTGACAATTCCATCGTCAGTCTCATATTCGAAGTTTTGAGAGACTGGGAATTGCCTCACATTGAATTGCGAGCTACTGGAACCTTGTTAAAGGTCATTACTACATGAGATGAAGGCTTATCAGCGACCTGCATTCGAGGACCAAACTATGATAGAGTCTTCAGCCAAAGGTGTTTGGGATAATTGATATTCAATACACCCAATTCCTTTCATCTCACCCCGTCGTTTCCATTTTTATCCAGCTGCCAGACTCTACTTGCTGCTGTGAGCCAGAGTATCAGTCATGTGATCGTGGCATACATCCCAACGCGTCCTGATCAGAACACCCATCTACATCCTTCAACTAGGCTCGACGGGCCCAACTCGTCCCATTCCCTCTGACATCTTGTCACGAGGCGCAGAAACAGAGCAGGCCCAATCGGCTCTCCCTCGATCAAGCTCGCCCGGAAATGAAATAAAGTGAGTGGGGGCTCACTCGCCTTGCTTCCGTCTCCACCACTCCCCGATCGCATGCGCACCTTCGTGTCAGCAATGGATCTCTCTCCTGCGGGGTATCACGGCCACACCAGTACGTCGCGTCCCGCTCCCCCGTTCGACGGCATCACCGATGTGAATATCGTACCGGCAGATGAATATCCAGCCGATGTAGAGGCCCTCGCGCTCGCGCTCTCCGCCGCACTCATTCCGTGCACGTTCCTCACTTGCGTGGGTCTCGCTGGGCTGGGAGGTACCCATCTCCGTCTCGCATCTCTCACCGCGCTGCACTCCGCACAGCACCGGTAATCGTGGCCGCATCGGTCACGGGCTTCATAGCCTCGCCGCCATCTCTCGTTCTGGCTTCGTCGACCCTGGGTGCTGTATCCGTTGCTGTGGTCCCGCTCCTTTTCCGCGGCCGCCGCCGCCGAGACGGATCGCAAAGCCGGGGGGCAGCCACTGCTGTGTCGGCGGAGAAGCGTAGGGCAGGGACCTACGAGTTGCGCGCGGCGTGAGGTCGCGGCGGAGGAATGAATTATCTATTAAATGAATCGCGATACTGTAGTCTTTTTTTTAATAGGCCTTCACGGCACACCCTTATCTGCATGATCCTTCCGTGTGTGTAGGGACAGTGAGAGAGGAGAACATCTCTGCAGGTGTCTCGCAGAAGCTGGTTGGGTGTCTGTCGGACTCGCTGTGTAATCATCATCATGCACGAGCGATCTCGCTCGCGCTGCGACACTCCCTTGATTAGGTTCTTTCATATATACAGCAGCTGCCATCTTTGCGTCCAACCGCAGCCAATCTGAGTCCTTCTGGTTCATCGAGAAGAAGGGCAGTCGCTGACAGCGGCACGCGTGGACGGCTGGAATACAAATCCACGGGGGTAAGCATGTACACACCACCACGTGGATTGGGAAGCCCCAGCGGAATGGAAGAACCTTCCCATGTTGGCCCTCATGTCGAATCATCCACCCCGCTTAGATTATTTAGATCGTCGCGCTCGACATAAACTCCATCTCTGAGCATCAGCCCGGCACGCACTAGTTAGTTAAAGCATCAGGGAAGATGTACAGACGGCTGGAGCACTAGATGATAAAATAAGCTTTCGTAGATAAGTACTCCGAGCAGGTGACAGCTACCAGGGATAAGTATGGAAGCCGCAGCGCGCGCGCGCGCGCGTGTTGCGTGCGTGCGTGCGGGAGGTTCCGGGCCATTCGCGAAGCGCAGCGCGACATTGACTCGGGGTTTTAGATGACTCAGGCATTCACACTTCCTATTCTGTGTTCCCATGTCGGATGGGCCAACGATGTAGATGAAAATCACAGAAAAGAAAAGAACCTTGTGCGTGTGGGAGCCGCATTCGGCCCACGACTTCTACGCAGCGGCCGGGCCATCGTCTTCGATTCACAGTACAGCGACAGCCTCTTGATATATTTCTTTGTGTGTGCGAAGTTCTCGGGATCGAAGCGGTAGCACAGCACCGAGCCTTCAAATGCACACACCACCAAAACATCAAAATTGAGGGATGGAGAGACGGCCGCTCCGCGGCATAAATACTTGTACAGTAACAGTGGGGCCGATCCCTTTCTCTGCCCCTCCCCTCAGACTCCCCAGCCATGCCCATGTACAACGACCAGCATTGCTATCCCTCCGCCCACATGCAGCGACCTCCGCTTGGACCCGCACGCCCGCTTCAGCCTCCGCGGCCGCGAAGACTGGGGCAGCAACGATCCCCTCCAATGGACCAAGAGCAGACGCTGGATGTGACTGTGAGTAGATGCGCTCGGAACCGCGTTGTTCTCTGAGACTGAAGAACCTTCAGGTAGCGTTAGAGGCGAGTCGCGTCGCTGCACGCCCACCACAACTGTCCCGCTGAAGTCTCTCTCTAACTCTCTCTGTCTCGCAGAACCAACAAGCGGAGGTGCGCCTCGATGCCCAGTCGCCGTGGCAGGTCGTCCTCGTCCTCGCCGTCCTTGCCGTGTTTCGAGAGGTGAGCACCCGCACACATCGACCGCCAAGCGCTTGCACAGCCGACTGACGGGGGGACAGGGCTGGGGCTTTGGCTACGACATCAGATATCAGTGGAACCGCAAAGAATATATGCGCTTCTTCGTCGACGGCTCGCAAGACATCCGGCGGTGGCTTGGACAGGATCGTCCCTGAGAACCCTGGACGTTCGTTAGATTAACCGTGTCTTGTGCCGCCGTTCGCTAGTTGTTCCGTACCCCGAGTGCATGTCTTGTTCCTTCTAAGTCAAGCAGCGCCCATCTCCCGTGATGCATCAGCACAAATAAGCCTCGTTACAGATCGGGGTCTTCCGATGATCCCGTCTGACAATGCAGAGAAGACATGAGGCGATCCAGAGTTCCTGGTTGGCAAGGCTGCTGCTGCTGCTGTATCAATCAGCATATACACCAAGTGCAGCAATATCTTACATACAGTACATGCATTCATTCATTCATAGCATACACACCCACACGCGTCCATCTCACCCATCCACAAACGCAAACCGGTCGCAGATCAGCGCGACGTCCGATATCGTCTTCATACGGGAGGCCAACAGATCGAGCACGTCAAGCTCCGCGTCTGTTTCGAGGAGGCTGGCTGAGAGCGCCTCAACGGACAGCGTCTGCCACGGCTTCCACACCGAGACGTGCGTACCCTCGGCCGACGACGGTAACGCGAATCGCGCGGGGTCGCGGATGCGCAGCGGTGCAGATACCGAGCCAGCAGCAGCAGTAGCGGAAAACGAGAACAAAACTGGGTGTATGCCCGATGTCGACGCGGTCGCGTCGGACAGGACGTGACAGAGCGCGATGCCGGGGATGGACGCGGCGGAGGCGGACGGGATCGGCGTGTGCAGGACGCGCAGGATCTTGAGCCGCATGTCGGGCGCGCAGGTGAGCCCCCGGCGCGCCGTCGAAGCCGAAGCGGAGTGCGCGAGCTCTTTCTCCCAGAGGACGAGCGACGCGTGGTGGCGGGTGTAGACGGCGTCCGCGAACGCAGCGAGACCCGTCCTAGCCGGATAAGCTGTCAAATCGGAAGGGCCTGAGAATATACGGCAGCACACACCTCGAGTGATACTTGTCCTTGGCCCGCCTCGCAGACGTCTTCTCGGGACTCATCAAGACCCCGCGCGTCTCCTCATCCACCTCGTCCGGAGGCGCATACCCGGGCATGAAGATCGACGCGAAATCCGCCGCAGCACCGGTGCCGCCCAACGGGTCCGTGGCGCGCGCGACGTGTGTCGTGGTGATGCTCGTCGCGAGGACCGCAGCGCGCGGCTTCGCCGCTAGTGCCGGCGCCGGGATCAGCCTCAGCGGCGCGTCGGTCTTCTTCGCGAATGCAGGCGCCGGGGTGGGGCTCGGCAGAGCGGGAGCAGTGAGACGGCGCAGGAGCGGGCTGGGCGTCTCGCGCTCCGCCGCGACGGGTGGTGGCAGGGGCGGCGGTGGGCGCGGTCGATCCGGCTCGGTCGCGGCGTCCCCGAACAGAGGAATCGGCGGCTTCAGGGCACGTATGAGCGGCGGCGGAGGCGGCGGCAGCAGCGGGGATTTGCGAACGGGTTTGGCGCCGCCCCCCACGAAGTCTCTGAACGCATCGACATCTAGCCTTGGGAGTGGTTTCGGATGCGGACGCGGAGTAGTAGTAGACCGCAGCTTCACCGGCTCATCCCCAAACGCGGAGGTGAACTTGGGCATGACGGGCTTGGGAAAGACCTTCGGCTTGGGCTTGGAGAAGCCATCGGGCCCTGTGGGCAGCCGGGGGCGCTTGCTTGGGCCTGCGCGCGGTGTGTCCGCGGCATCTTCCTACGATGATCCGCTGAGCTGAATATAGATAGCCTACAATGCAGGTCGCGTACGGATTGATGGGGTCGTTTAGCGCTACTCATGAGCGTGAACGGCAACAAGATTAGACGTCGAAGTGAGGTACGGTCATGTGATGTACAAACAAACAAAGCGGGGCGCCATTCCATTGGGTATAGTGCATACATACACTAGTCCAACTAATTATTAAACAGATTATTTGTATTTGATTCAGGCTTTGCACCCTGCGCACGCGTCAGACTCTCTCCTTGTCCTGCAGTGTGACACTGGACGACTGCGAGTCGGGCACGGCGGTCGCGGGCGTCCCGTCGATCCAGTCACGCCACGATTCACCGTACAGGGTGGTGAAGTGGATCATAATGGCCGCCAGGAAGACGAACAGGGCGCTGATGGTCGAGACCCAGCCGACGCCGATGTGTTTGACGGCCGGGAGAACGACAGCGGAGCCGATGGCGGCGAATGTATAACGAGTGATGTAGTTGCCAGCTGCGAATTGGGGAAGATTATTAGTCTTGGATTTCCCTGTGCACATGGCTAGAAACGCACCAACAACTTCGGCGGATCGGCTTTGCATGACATCTGGTATTGTATATCAGAAGCTGTTGCAGCTGATATTACATCACCACAAACTCACCAAGACAGTAGGTGTTCAAGCTGGGGAAACAGAAGAGTTGTGAAACACCTTGTACAAACCTGGAAAGGACCTGTTGTTAGTAGTATTCCCCGCATCCAAATAGACGGCACCCACATGACAATAACAGGCAAAACGATGCCACCCTTCTTCTTTTCGATGCTCCAGCCGTAGATGAGCATGCACCCGGGGATGACAAAGGCCATAAACGGAAGCCCACTGCGCAATCTGTCCTCCGGGATGCGCCGGCCGCGGATGTCGATCCACTTCTTGACCGTGCGGTCGGCCCACCGCCCACCGAGGAACGTGCCGGTGATGTATCCCACCCCAGGCGCGAGGTAGAACAGCCCGGATTGCATCGGGGAGGTGAGGTGGAATCGGGGGTTGATGACGAACCGGATCGGTGTCAGCAGCGTGTACATGTTCCAGATCAGGGCGCCCGCGGCGAGCGACGTGGTAAGCTGCACGGGCGGGAGTCAGCGTCGGGCGATCGTAGCCAACGAGAGCACGGCAGCCACGCACCAGGTTGGGGTACTTGTACAGCTTGAAGACACGGAACGGGTTGGACCACTCGATGATCTTCTTGGTCTTCTGGATCCCAGACATGCCCACCAGCTCCGCAGAGCGCTTGTGGTGGATGGTCTCCGGGATAACGAAGATCACGAGGAGCGTGGCGATGCCGCTGAGAGCTGCCTGGACGTAGAAGATGACGTTCCAGCTCTCGTAGGTCACGATCACACCCGCAATGAACGGTCTGCGATGCATTCAGCAAGTGCCAAGTGGGCGAGCAACGCCGACGCGAACATACCCGACGGCCGGCCCAACGAGAGTCCCAGACAGGAACCACGACAGCGCAGTGGCTCGCTCAGTCTACAACCAGGATGAGTGAAACCAAACAAGCCGCTGGCAGGGCGTGACACGCGCACCGGTCTGTAGATGTCCCCAATGACGCTGGATCCGACCGTCAAAAACGACATGCCGGGAAACGCAGTCAAGGCTCGGAACACAAAGAACGCAATCAGATTGGGGCTAAACGCGGTAGCCAGCGAGAATCCGAAGAACATGAAGGCGCTCGAGACACAGATCTGCGAAATAAGATTGAGTGTGCGTTCGGCGCAGATCGTGCAAACTTGAAGCCCGTACCCAGCGTCTCCCGTACACCTGGACACGCAAGTCAGCATCTGCGCCGTCGATTGCCGGGGGCGAGAGCACATACCTGACTCATGGGCGCCCAGAAACACGGCGAGAATGCCATGACGATAAGATAGATAGCGTTTGAGAGGTTAATGACAGTGCTTTGAGAGGAGATCGTCAGTCCCGGCTTATAGAGCCAGCCGCTGGAATGACTTACCCGGTTGTATGGAAAGTAGCAGCGACCTCGGGGACGGCAGCCAAGATATTCGTCGACGAGGACGGGGCCAGGAAGCCGCACAGCGCCAGGACGAAGGTGATCATCCCTTTGCGATGCGCCGGGATCCTGTCGTAGATAGCGTCGTCGACGGCCTTCTTGTCCGCCGCCTGCTGAGTCGGGGAGTTGGCTGCTGAACCGGATGTCGGGCCAGCCATTTCAGATGTAGAGGAGAGGGAGGGAAGGTGGAGGGGGAGGGAACTGAGCATCCAATCCTCTCGGGCGCACGCATTTATCCTAGCTGCAATCTCATGCTGTCACCACCGAAAATCGGTGTGGAGACCCGGACGCCAAAAAGCCCGCGAGCACAAGACGAGTAATTGGAGGGCGCGGTCTGTCACGTCCACGCACCCCATCGTTGGTTACCCGCGAAGCCAGTCTGTATCCGCTGCGATAGCCCCATTGTGGGGCGCCGGGGTCGGGATGTGTTTGGGCCCCTGTCAGAAACGAGCATTCCGGGCTTCGTGCCGTCGCCAGGAGACGCACCTGCGCCGCGCATCCGAGAATCGAGGCCGCTGCCACAGCGCGGAAGCGAGACCTCAGCGGTCGGCTGGTTTCGATATCACGGGAGCGCGCCTGCTGCGTCGCCGTCGCCGTTGTCTACCCAGGGCACAGCGATAAACTGCTTGGTCAATGCGCAGCGCGAATGCTTCGTATTCAATTGAGGTCTCCGCACTCGGCTTGGGATGTGGGGAAGAAGGGCGCCCTCTCACCTTGCTGACCGCAGTACGTCACGATGCAAGCAATGATTCCTCACCCAAAGCATAGCCGGCAGAATGAGCGGGCGGGTCCTCCGAAACTTTCCGAAATAGAGAGCTCGTGCGCGGACGGCCATGGCGGATTTGGCGTGGTTCTTCTCGAGAGCGGCTTCTGACGGGAGGGGCTGGCTGGCTTCGAAGCAGCCGGCGCCTTCCGCTGTTTCTACTACAACCGTGGGCGGTTCCAACTCGGCGCCAAATGATCACGGTCAAGTGTGCGTTTTACGATCTGCTTGCGGCGGTGAAAGCAGTCTCGAAGGGCTGTGGGATTCTCGGGCGCTGATACTTACTGGATAAGGAGATGCCGTCGCGTACTGACATCCAACTGGCAGTGAAAAGTGCAGCGGGTCCTCGGTCTTCGAGTGCAAAACTCCGAATGTTAGATGGGAAGCTGGCGCGATTGAAGACAAGGGCTCTTGGCGTCCATTCGCTGAGAGTTCTTCAGCCTGTGCGAAAGATGCTTGGTTCGAGCCCTTCAAAATTCAGCAAGTAGCAGTAAGTACAGTCAAGAGGCGTGACCCACGACTCCGAAATGGATCAGGATTCTGGAAACTCCCACGCTTCATCTCCGATTGCCATGTTTGACTCTCAATTTTGTAGTTGGCTCATGACTTGACAATTATACACTGCAAACGAAAGTAAGTCGCGGCTTTTATTTCACTGAGTGCTCAGTAAAAGAAATGCCTGCCCATGAGACCCTAGACACCAGACGAATATACCAGCTGAGTAGCATCAAACACGATCACGTGACACTCAATTTCACGCTTTTGCAAGTTTCCACCCACCAATACGAGGCGACCGTTTGCAAGGCGACGCCTCCGGATCTTTGACAGAGTCCTCAGTGAGATCATCGCACCCATTCCCACGCTTCTCACCCCAGACTCCAACCCACCCCACCCGTACGTATTTCCCCAATCTTTGCTTCTTAATCGTGCACGTTACGCGCAGTGCTGGCTGATGTTTCACCCTGCACTCGAGACAGGACGGTGCGTTCGCGCTGTCAGCCGCCGCGTACTTGTACCCAGTACCCCCTTCTCTCGCAGATCCCAGCGTGTGGCGGGATGCATGTTCGCGGCGCCACGCGCTGCAGAACGAGCGCCCCACTTTCTGCACGCGTGCGCTTCAGAAGTGCTCCGTCGTACGTGAAAAATGGAATTGCCCGGCGCTGCGAATGGGCCAGAACCACTGGCCTGCGGGGTCGCTCTTCTACACTCTGTCTGACGACCGTCTTTGCCTGTATTTGGGTCTCAATGCACCCGGATGGGCCTCTGCCTGAACCGGATGCTCTGAGGAGTGCTGCTTATGGCTCGTGATCGCTGCGCAGTCCCACCTCGGCCTGCCAGCGATCGTCGCGGTTCCCTCGCTGCCCAGGCCCTTCTTCTCGGCGTGTGCGAGGCCCCGAAAGGCATACAGCTCCCAGACGCATGCATCTCCTGACTCTCGATGGCCCGGAGGTTTGAAGAGTCGCTTCGGCGTCGAGGACTGGTCCCGTTCGATCATCGCTGCGATTCTCAACTGACACCGGCGGAGTGTTGGTTTCGATGGAGGAAGAGCTCCAATGGGAAAGGGCGACCCGCTGATTTCTGACCCCGTACATCGCTCAGCCCAATCCGCTCGAAGTGATAGCGCGCATCTATCCGGCCAATGGACTTCTGCGTCTGATCCCGCTCCCATGCAGCCTATTAGCATTCCCTCCCGTGTTTCTCGAACATCGCACTCGCCCGACTCTCGGGCGCCCTGGGGATTTATTCTGGAACGTTTCCCTCGCCCATCACGAAGAATCTTCCCCGCTCGAGTTCAGAGTCACCTGCGATGCTCCACCCGAATGCCCACGTTGAAAGGAAATCGACCAGATGTTTGAGGATCCTGCGAGGTCCCTGAATCCCCGTCCGATGCCCTTTGGGTCATTGATGCGCCGATTGCTCAGGGCTCTCTCGGTCTCTGAGTCTGCTATCTCACAGCGCAGCTGTTCTTCATTGACGACGCAGGGTCAACCACCTGGTCAAGTGTCATTGTTCGCTCGTGATGAAACACATCTCGACCGTGTTCGTTCCTACGACCCTGTGTCCAACAGCAACCGCCGGTCGCGATGAAAAGCAGGACTGCTCTAGTATCATCTCTTTCCGAAAATATGCACATCACCAGAGGCACTCAGCTGACCCTGCGCACTGTCATCCCGAGGACATATCTGCCAATTCGACTCAAATACGACTCAGATGTTGCGTCGAGACTGGGGCCATTCCCGCTGACATAAATCCCGTCCGACGGAAGCGCAAGAGTGCCCGCGATGCGGAAAATCCCGCGTCGAATCGAATATGTTCCGCTGGGGAGATTGTCTGAAACAGGCCTAACAAGCAGCCGCGAACGGTACTGCGATACTTGTCATCGTGGTCAATCATTCGTGCCCTCGCACAAAAGAACAAGATTTGGCTTTGGCTTTGGCTTTGGCTTTAGCCTTCAGGCAGAGTGCCGTCACGATCGGTGCCTTCGCTGAGAGGCTGAACTCTGATTAGTGCTTACTCAAAGCAGGGCGTATGCAGCCGCGGGCCGAGAGCCGAAGCGGTGCCAAATCGGAGTGACCAAGCGTCCCGCACACTACTGTAGATCTAGGATCATATCAAGCATGCATTGATTGGGTCGTATCTTATTGGTACATGGTTTCCAGAGTTAGTGGGGGATCCGGCCGGCCATAAGGCTTTTCAGAGGCTACGCCTGGATCAGAGTCCCTTGGCGTACCCGCCCTTCTCGTAGAAGGTCTCCATGCGCGAAACGATCTCGGACAGCGCAGCGAGCCACTTGTCCAGCTCCTCGTTCAGCTTCTCGGGCGTGGCGTCCGGGCCCCCGGCCGGATCCGCCGAGAGCTTCTTGTAGAAGTCGGCACGGTACGGGCAGGCCTTCATCGCGACCTGCGGGGGAGGGGCCGACGCATCGTCGTCAGTGGGAAGCGACGCGGGGGCAGGAGGGACAGGCAACAGCCGGGCGTACCGCAAAGACGCCCTTGACGACAAAGTTGTGGAACTTCTTGAGCGTGCCCTCGTACGACTTGGTGAACGCGGCGGAGAGCTCCTCCGTGCGGTTCGCCTGCGCGTTCTGCAGCGCCTTGCAGGTGAACGACAGCCCGCGGAGCAGCCACATGAGGCCCTCCGTCGCCGTGCGCTTCTTCTCCCCTTTCTCGTTCTCGACGAGTTTCTCCAGCGTGCCCGACAGCTCCGGCGCGGCGTCATACCGGGCGCGGACTTTCTGTGTGCACCCAGAAAGGGAGGGGCAGGGGAAGAGGGATGTGAGATCGCCGATCAGGAGCGGGCGAAGGCACTCGGACGCACAGCGATGTTTCCCTTTAGGTCGGTCTGGACGACGGCGAACGCGGCTGATCCAAGCAGATCTTCACCAATCAGGTTAGCGATACTGCCCTGCCTAGCCATACATGGCATGCCACGCACCGAACAAGCCTACCAGTCCATCCGAAGCCGCGAGGAACTGGACGGTATCGACGCCATCGTCCGTAATAGGGACGTCAGCGAACGACTGCGGGCTCGTCAATATGTGTATTTATGAGGAGACAGGCAGACGCAGTCCCACTCGCACCTTTACGGTTTCGAGGTAAGGCGCCATGGGTGGGTGTTTCCAGGTGAAGAGTGTTCGTGATACGAACCCGCGCCTCGAGGGACGGTGACCCTGTCTGGCAGCCGTGTAATCTTATTTTGATGCGCACAAATGCTAGCCCGATATGGCGTTCTCAGGGGAGCGGAAACGGACCAAATGTCCGATCCTGACGACTTTCGCCTGCGTGGCTTTCGCGGTCTGTATGTATGTACTGTATGACAGCTCCGATCCTAAATGCACAGTCTGTGGACGATCCGCATGTGCTCGAGTTATACGAGTTACAAACAGTATCCGGCTCCCACAAATAGGATCTGTCTAACCCACTCCTTGTGCTGTCACAGTATGTCACGATCAGGACGGAACGTTTTGAGTACAAACTGTATCTCACGTGACTGGGAACAGCCGGTTCACGTGGAGACAGACGTGCGTTCCAAGTCTCAAACCAGGGCCTGAAACAGAACGGGTGAAACCAAGTAGCGTTGACCCCTCGCCTCGGGGCTTGAAATTTCAATTCATTCCCGCTCTTGCTCGCGTCAACAGCCGCCGACTCCCGGATAACACGATCAGAACTACGATCTGGCGCATAATGGACATGCGCACGCTTAGGGATCCGACAGGCGGAATCTGATCCTCGCTGTACAAGGCGTACTTATGTGTGTCTAGTATCACTGCCATTCTCTCGGATATTATTTCTTCTCCTGAATTTGCTGTCCAACGATTGTTTGTCCTTACAATCGCAATGAGGGTGTCTGTAGAAGCTGCTGCACATTCGCCATTGTCTAATGCATAGCCCAGAGCAACGCAAATTCATGTCCCTGGGACGGAAGTCGAGTTGGAGACCAAGCAGTCTCCAATTGACTCAGATTTATACAGTCAGGTTCAGTGATCTCGAAAGTCGCGCGTAGTTTCCGTCACCGATACTCCGATCCACATTTTTTCGCCAGCGTTGCAAAACTCGTCCGAGCACAATGCATTTTAGACTTTGCGCCATGGTTTTCAGCCTTTTGTTCCTTCATTGAGCTGTACTCACTGTACTCACTTCAGAGTTGATGAAGAAAAACATGCGACAACGGTTATTGAGCTGCGGCGAATCCCACAGAATTACTCGACGTAGATGTACCATTTCGATTCTCGCCGAGCTTGGTCTTACCCGCCACTTCGATTTCTCCTTCCAGATCCCTGAGCCTAATACGACCGAGGCCGTACCGAGTTTCTCCCGCGCAGACCAAAACAAGAGACATTGGGTATCGATGATCGAGCACGACATAACAGTCCCAGGTTATCGATAATCTAATCTTCTTCGTCATCATCATTTTACAAAATCTTACCTCCTGCTCGGCTTGTCCACCCACCAACACCAACACTATGCCGCACGCCGACTCCGCCCTGGTCCCCGAAACGTGAGAGTCCGCCCACCTCTGGCGCCAGTCTAGACATGACATTCCCTCCGGAAGGGTTACGACGAAGGCCGAGTTTTGGGCGCATGTTCTTGAGCAGCTGCAGTTTTTGCTGGACCCGGAACAGCGGAACTGGGTGCGTTCCACCCCTATGCACACCTGCACCCTCGTCCGGATACACCTATCCTCACCCCCTTCCGCAGGTCACAAACATGTCCAACGCGTCGTCCCTGATATACAACTCACTCCTCGCCTTCCCCGCCCACTTCGGCGCGGACGCGCGCCAAGTCAACTGGTGTGGTGCGTCTACACCGGCTGTGGAGCCCGTTCCGTCCTCATCCGACCTCGAAAACAGGGTTCTACCTTGATTCGCGGTTGTTCCCGAATGCGCGGGGGCCTGGCCACGCAGCAGCAGGAGCAAGCGATGCTTGCGAGCGACTCCTGCTAGGCCCGTTCAACGGCAAACCAGCGTGCCAGTACATCGCCACCGTGCCCGGCAAAGCGCGCGGTGTCTGCGCCGACGCGTACCTGCAAGGACGCACGGTGGTCGTGCGGGACGTGGAGGCGTACCCGGGACACATCGCGTGTGATGGAGAGACGCGCAGCGAGATCGTGTGCCCGCTTGTTCTGCGCGAGGGGGACTCGACCCGCGTCCTGGGGGTGCTCGATCTGGACTGTCTTGCCGAAGGTGGCTTTGGGGATGAAGACAAGGTGCGTAGCAAGTCTCACGTCAGAGCACCGTTTGGCACGTGCTGAACAATCTGTGCTACGTAGGAGGGACTCGAGAAGATCGCTCAGTTCGTCGTGGACGCTTGCGACTGGTGATGCAAAATAGAATAACTTAGATGTAAGTCAGTGAATGTATCATACGTCGTTCTAAGCGCCACCGGTCTCCTGCTTCCAGGCCAGATACTTCTCGTGCAGCTTCGCCTGCGTCTTTTGATCTTTATCCAGCTTCTTGCCTTGGCTCTTGCTCAGCTCCTTGCCCTCGGCATCGGTGAGGGGCAAGCCATTGTCGTCCCACGACCCATAAGTGCCTTCTGGAACGTTCGGTGGCTTGTACATCTCCTGGGGAGGCACGCGACCCTTCTCCATCTGAGCAGCTTTCTTTGCCCGCTCAGCCTCAGCCGCCGCCGCCTGTCTTTGGGCCTTGGCTTCCTCCTGCGCTCGTTTCTCGTCGCGTGCGCGGATGAGCTCGGCCGGGGGAACCAATTTGACCAGGGCCTTGCCATCTGCGTGCGAATTAGCAGGCGGTCTTCAAAACACGAACACCACACGAACCCGGTTGATCATCAAGGGCGACACCGAGTGGGATGAGATCTGCGTCCCGCAGTCGATCGCACAATGCAAGAATATCCTTGAGAGCAGTGTCGCCCTTGGCCCTGGCCAAGCCACGCACTCCGTCGCGGAACACAGATAGAGCTCTGATGTATGGCATGAGCACCTCTTCCCGCTATCCATCGGATAAGCTGCCACGTCAACTGAAGAAAGCGCAACACGCACATTGACTCCCGCGGAGGCTGCATCGTCAACTCCCCAGCCGAGCTCTTCCGTCTGCCCAGCACCGAGTCCGAACATCCTCAGCATCTGCCCAATCCATCGGGCGACGTTCTCCAGCAGCTCGACATTCGCCAGTTTGCCGCGCGCAGTGATGTACACATTCGTTCGCGCTATCAGATCCCGCAGCACACCCACGGCTGCCGGGGTGTTGAACGAGTCGCACAAAGCAACACGGAAGGCGTGTTGACTGTCATCGAGCCTGATAGATGTGTAAACGCGAGAACGCAAGGATCGAAATAACCACAAACGCCACGCGCAGCTCCCGCTCTGGTTCCTCGTAATGGTGATATGCGTCTAACTTCATCCCGTCTGCCTTGGCTTGGCTCACAAGGGCACTAACATTCGTGAAAAAGTTCTGCGGGCAGTGTTAGCCCAAATCGGGAACAACGCAGACCCGCACATTTATGGTCGTCTCCACGCTGCGCACTTCCCCAGCCATCAGAGAATCGCTGAAATCCACCTTGGCAGACCAGAGCTGCGTCAGGAATCCCAGCCGCAGCTGCCGTGCGGTGTACCGTTGCAGAATTTCCTGGGGCATGTCTTAGCATCCACGCAGTCGAAGATGACCGCGCGCTCACATCGATTGTGATAAAGTTCTTGAGCGACTTGCTCATCTTGAGACCCTCAATGTGTAGATGCCCGCTGTGCAAAAAGTAGTTGACCCAGGAGTCGTTCTCATGGTAAGCCTGTGCACGTTCGTCACCGATGCTAACAAGCGGAAGCTCTGGCTCACCTCCGACTGGGCAATCTCATTATCATGATGGGGGAAAGCCAGATCGACACCACCAGAGTGGATGTCGAGGTTGTCTCCGAGGATAGCGCTCGCCATCACGGAACACTCGATGTGCCACCCAGGGCGGCCCTGTCCCCAGGGGGAAGGCCAGGACGGCTCACCGGGCCGTGAGGCCTTCCACAACGCAAAATCGGCCGGCCGGCGACTGGTGTTCTGTGATAGAGCACCTCGTGTTTTCACTGAGATCCCCGTCCACGAATCTGTCGATACGCTAAACTACTCACCTTCACCGTCCTCGAGAAGCTCCCTGTTTCCTTTGCTCCAGGGCTCCAGCTTGGCGTAATCGTGATTCGGGTTCTTGTCAAAAGCCTCAGTGTCAAAGTAGATGCTGCCCTCTGACTCGTAGGCGAATCCGTTCTTTTGAATCTGTTCGACAAAGGCAACGACTTCCGGCACGTATTCGGTCACGCGGGTGACAGTGTCTGGTCGGAGAACGTTCAGTCGGTCCATATCTTCGAAGAACTTGCCCTCCCAGTACGCAGCCAGCGACCGGGAGATACTGGGGTCCGTGACAGTAGACTTGAACTAGAGCAAAAACTCAGCTTCCCCCACAGAGAAAGCACGGGGATCATGCCTGTTCATCCAGAACCGGAGCAAGGATATCCTTCGCGTCTGAGATGAGTTTGTGCGCAGCTTCGCCCGACGTGTGTCCAGCGCTTAAGTGAGCGCGGGCAGCTTGAAGTGCTGCAAAGGTTTGACTCTGGCAAAAAAAGACGTCGTTAATCCCACGGATCAGGCTGTCCTGCATGCAGCACACACCGCGGACGAGAAATGCATGTCAAACTTCTCATCCCTTCGCACGCACTCTTGCTTCCAATCCTTATTCTGGCTCAGCTCGACGAGGCGCGGCCAGCACGCGTCTTCGCTGCCCTCAGCGGGGACGTCCGTTGCGGGAAGACCTTTCTTCAGTTGCTGGCGGACGTGCATCCGCCATGCGTCGTGCACTTGAGCGATCAGCTCGGCGGAAAGCGCGGTGGTCCCGTCCCGGAACTTGTCGAATATGTGGTTCTGCCGGGCGCGCTTGATGATCTGCGGGGGTCGAGCGTGTCAGTTCTAACGCGAAGGGAAAAGATGCACGGGCATCGAGCACACCGCACCTTGTCGTCGATGTCCGTAATGTTCTGCACGAAATGCACGTCGTAGCCGAAGTAGTTGGTCATAATGCGCCGGAGGATGTCCTGCGAGACATAGTTCCTGTACGGGCGTAAGGTACGGAGCGCCCCCGTCCTGGCCGGACACACACCTCGCATGCCCCATATGCGACGCATCGTACACCGTGGGCCCGCAGTTGTACCACTTCACGTGGCGGCCATCCCGAGCAACAAATTCAGTCTATTCGGAGGGGGAGATACATAAGTCGATCGTATATCGCGATTGCAAGGCCGAAACGCGTGCAGACTTTAGTTTTCGTGAGGGAGTTGTAGGTCTTCAGCACGGGTTCTTCGCGTGCTTTTTGTGGCGGGGACCAGGGGGGCTGTTGCACAGACATGGTGACGGATCGATGGAGTTTGAAGGCGATCGATCGTCGAGATATAGAGAGCGTGCGGGCACCAATGTGAGTCAAGACCATTCATCAGTTGGCGACCTGGCGATATGGCTGTGTCCATGTCACGCGGACAGTGACTATTTTGGTTTTGTGCCATTTTCTTCGACCACCCAGTATTTCTGGCCTCCCCTCTGTGGCGCATGAAACATGTTTGCGCGCCATGTTGGCCGCCGGTTGTCCACGTCTGAAACAGTGTTGAGAGAGACCCGTCTTGCCACCATCAATCTCAGGACTCAGGAGACCTCTCGTTCTTCCTCGGTCTGCCGACATCTGACCCGGTAGTGCTTCCTTGTGCCCCATCTGTGCACTTGTCATTCTTGCTGGGAAGGATGATCGAGTACCAAGCCTTGCATCGAATCTGACACTTGGGACAATCTCCTCAATAACCCCGTGGATCGCGTGATGCTGGGAATCGCGACCACCGAATGCGCATCCCGCAGCTAGTGGTACCACTACCGGCTCCGACACGTCGATAGCGTGGACCTTCCGGCTAATGGCTCGTGGTGAGCACGAGCTATTGTCGCATCTAAAGGCGCCACTAGCCGTCCCCTCCCCCCTGCGGCTGTGGTTTCCTCCCCGGTGCATTCGGAGAACCGAATCACTCGGGTATCATGATTGAAGCTGTAGAATCACCCGCAGATCTCTCTTCTTATGCTCAAGGTGTTGTGTTAGCTTTTGGGAGCATGAGAAGTCAAAGGCTTCATGTCGTGTACTTACGACGTCGGGGTCTACCATGCTTTTCGGATGCTCGACGGCCTCGCTTGCGGCTCCTACCTGCGTCCCCACCGCATCTGGAACTGGAAGCTGTGTGCTCTAGGTTGGAGCAGATGGCACAATAGAATCCGTAGCTCCTTCTGGCCATCTTCCTGCGCAGCAATGCACGACGGAGGTCAGCTGGGCGAGAAGAAGTACATTCTCCGATGAGATTCTTTTTCGCTGTCGAGGCGATGCCCCAGCGGGTCCACAGTTAGTGCATCCATCTCTCGGCAAGTGCGGCCGCGGCTCGCGCTACTGACCTGGATCTCGACCGGGTCGTGCGGGATTTTCCGAGAAAAATAGCCGGAGCATCTGCTGTGACGGTTCTTCCGCTGTCTGTTTGGTACTTCCACCATCCGGCGAAACGCATCACACGCTGGCGACTGCGTTAAAACTCAATCTAACTGGTGTGATCGAGTTCTTGATTGAAATGCACTGGAAGATTGATTTGCCCCGACAGCAGGATTCCCACATGGCCTTGGATCCGTGCTTCACACCTATCGACTCGCTAGAATTAACCTTGGAAGCGGTGGGCGTCATCCAGTTATGGAATCCCTGTATAAAGGCGATGTGATTTCATCCCGTTGCACGTTAGTTAGCCTCAATCCCCCCCGCGAATGCCCCTGCAGCACCCGACCTGCACCGGACTCCGCGTCCGCACCACCGCTGATGCTCATGTCATCTTCCACGCCGTCACGCTCGGCATCCTCCCCATCATCACCCGCCGCCTGGACACCGACGAGCGGCGCGCCATCACGTCCGGCTGCGTCTTCGTCTGGGAGGAGCGCGGCACGGGAAACGCAGAGCCGATGGGGGTCAGTCTGTCCGTCTTGTCTCGCGCGGCCACCGCTGACAAGAGAGTCTCCTCCCAGCTCGGCATTGAGCGCTGGACAGACTCGATCCGCTGGGGCCCCAGTCGCGTGCGAGAGGTGAGTAGGAGCTCATCCCCTCCTCCTCCCCCCCTTCGGCTCTGTGAACCGAGCATTAATTCATCTCAGGAATTTCTCTTCTACCACGAGAAGGACCCTGACCCTATTGAGATTGATCTGGGTTACGATTCGGAGACCGGGCACGTCCGCGCCTGCTTGGGTCCTTGCTCCTCGGATCTGACCTTGCCTCTAGCTCACCGCTGGGCTACGGACCTGCCCACATGCTCCTCGAGCGGCAAAATCTTGTCAAGCAGACGTACTCGGTGTTCGTCGAGACGGCCCAGGGCAGACGGAAATGGCATCTCAGTAGGATCTCTCCACACACCGCTGAAATGACCCAACCGACTAACGCGCACCGTCACAGCGGCGTACTTCACCCAGGACTCGCTGGACTACCTGCGCACGATCGAGGACATTCCGTGTCTGTCCCGCCTCCGGGTCCCACCCGGACTCTACAAAAGCGCACGCGCGGGCCCGGGGCGCATCCGGAATCGGCTCGCCGACCAGCCCTTGACGCCGTACCCGCGGCCGCCGCTGTCGCAGCCCCCAGACGACACACCGATACACGTGAACGGGGTCTTCCAGAAAGTGCTCGCGCCGCTGGAGTACCTCGAGAACGTCCCCCCGCCGCGGCGGCACCCTCTCGACGAGAAGGCGCTCATGTCGTTCTTTCCCGGCCTCGACTGAGTGGCAGCAGGCCACCCGATGCGTTCTCTTTTCTTATCTCGATGTATGGCATATGACCGACTGGATTCCGATATTATGTATACCCCAGCATGTTACTGATAAAATAACCAAGTATGTATCTAGTAGACTGATCCCACACCTATTCAATATCCAGTGTTCCCCGTCTTCTCTGGAGCAATCCACATCAGAAAGAGCACTGGCTCATGCTATCTTCGGATCGATCTGACGGCTGCCAACCAAAGCCCCTGCACAGCGATCTGTGGGCTGCAGTGCCCACCATCATTCGAGCGTGGCGGTTCTCTCCTGCCTCGTACGGGGTGGGCCTGCTGCTACGGCCTGTGCACGCGATCCGGGCTGCAGCCTCGCACCGCGCGCGGCCGATGCAGTGGGTGGTGGTGCGGCGAGCTGCTTCCCTCGCTTCGCCGTCCATCCACATGGCTCCGACCTATGCCCAAAACGGCGTGCTGGCCTCGAGATCCCAGGGAGGTGGCCAGAAATGCAGTCGACGTACAGTAGTGCGCATTCTGATCTTGCAGGGATAACGCCGGTGGGACGATGCCCCCCACTCTATATAAAGTACTTAGATAGGGATAGCCTATACTATACTATATTGTGTGCTTAGCGAGGCTGGATATGACCCGTGGAAACAGCCGGCGAGCTTGGCACACGAGAAAGACAAAAGGCGCGTCTCCCGTTGCGTATGCGTAGTGTGATTGACAATGACATCTGCTGACATATCATTTGAATTACGGTCCGTGGAAGCTGAAATACATCCGTCGGAGATGATCTATATATCGAACAGCGACCTGCAGATGCGCGCTCGAGCTCGCTGCTGCTACAGATGATCCACGTTGCCAAGGGAGCGAATGTCGGAGATCGGAGGAGAGTGTGCGCTTTTCCGAGGAGTGCAACCTTCCCAGTGCTTGGTTTACCAGGCGAGAGCCGTAAGGAGATAGTAAATCAAACTTTACGCATCAGAGTCAGAAGACGTGATGCGATGCAACCGGGGAGAGTGAGCCAGACTTGCTGGGGCGGCGCATTGGCGGCTGCGCAGATACAGCGGCGGGACGCGGAGAGCTGCCGGCCCAGAGGGGCACGCTTCGGTTCCTGTTCGATGGAGGGCGGCCGCACGGAGAACATCCATCAGAATTTGGTTAAGGTTAGCAAGCGTGGGAGCACCAGACTTGCATCGAGATTTTCAGGGTCGTGCTATCAGCAGCCGCAGACAAATTAGCCGTACTGCGTTTGTCGACAGCGGGCTTTCGAAGGACCCTCCTTCCATGTGTCCGCGCCGCAGACACCACCACTTACCTGTACATATCCAGCGCGCCCGCCACTCCATCTCTGCCCTGCCCTGCCCTGTTGTTTTTGTTTTTGTTGTTGTCGCCGTCGCCGTCGCCGTCGATATCCCTCCACAATGCCTCCCGGGGCACAACCGACACCTGCACCCGGACCCCAGCGCCCGACCTGCACCAACGTGCGCATCCGCTCCGTCGGCGATGCGCACAAGATATTCTTCGCCGTGCACACCGGCCTCCTGCCCATGGTCGCCCGCCGGCTCGATGCGGACGAGCGCGCGGCGCTGCACACGGGGTGTGTGTACGCCTGGGAGGAGCGCAGCCCGAACACCGAGATCACGGGGATTGGCATCGAGCGCTTCACAGAGGGACGACGGTGGAGTGCGTCGCGCGTGCGGGATGTACGTCAGCGCGTCTTGCTTTATTGTGTTTCGGGCCCGTCACCGACCGCTTATCGTCGCAGGAGTTTCTGTTCTACTACGAGAAGTGGGTCGGAGTCGATGCGAGCCAGCCGCTGTGTGTCTTCTTCTCTTTGTTTCGCGATCGCCGCAGGTTCTGAGTGGAGAACAGCGATGAAGGCAGTCTGCCCGCGTCCAAGGCCCAATCGCGGGCCCCGCCGACTCCACCGCCTGGGTGGCAGCAGCTGGTGAAGCAAACATATTCCGTCTGGGTGGAGACACCCAAGGGCAAGAGGAAGTGGCATCTCAGTACGTCTCAGATCGCCGCAGGCCGGCTTCTCTTACTCAAGCCCCCGCAGCGGCGTACTTCACCCAGCAGACAGTCGACCATCTCGGCACCGTCGACGACATCCCCGAGCTGCAGTCCCTAAATGTGCCGCGGGGGATGTTCACGAGCACTCGGGTGGGCAAGCGCAAGAACACCGTCGACGCAGAGGGCAGCGCACAGCAGGCCCCGGCGCGCGTGTATGCCCCGTTCCCCACGCCCCACGCCCCGCTCGCCCCGCGTCCGACGCAGCCGGAAGCGTCGACCTCATCGGCGGCGCCGCATCCAGCCCGCGGGCCGCCTTCGCCGTCGGTGACGATGCACGATCCGTACGCCCGTGCACGTGCACCCACCCCCCAGAGCGGCGCGGGCCCCTACGACACGGCGGCCTATCGCGGCGGCACGCCGACGCCGACGCCGACGCCGCACCGGTACGCGCGTCCGGAGGCGGAGCGCGGGCCCGCGTCCCCTGTGCCTGGGGGCTTCGTCCCGCCCGAATACGTCCTGCACCCGGACGCCCGCCGGATGCCTTATCAGGCGCCGCTCACGGCTGTGTCCGGTGGGTGGTTCCCGGCGTCGTACGCGGCGCCGCCGCTGGGCTCGCCACACTCAGACGCCTCGTCACCGGGGTCGTCGTCGTCCGCCGGGTCGTCCCCGTCGAGCTACCCCCTGGTGCCCTCGCCGATGATCTACACGCCGTACCCGGCCGGCGACGACGACGACGATGCAGGCCGCCGCTACTCGCTCCCCCGGGTGGCGTCGCCGACGCCCGAGCCGGATCCGCTGGCCGTGCCGATGGACGACCGCCCGGGTGGCATCGGGCCGTGCCGCGATCTAGCGCCGCTGCACTCGCTGACGCGAATGCACCCGTATCGGCGAGATCCCGCCGACGATCAGACGCTCCGTCTGCTCCGATCGACGTCCTGATTGCGCTGCAGGACTGACGACGGCATAGGATTGTTGTTGTACTCTAACTGGAACTAGTAGTAGCCCGCCACCGTGTGGCTGGTATAATTGATGAATGCTGATGACTTGACTTGGCGGCGTGTATTGAGTGACCCACAGCAAGGGTCGGTGCATGAGGCACGGCTTGCTCCATGAGGGGCGTACGTACGTGCGACTCCTGGCTTGCGTTCTGCAAGTCTTCGCTTAGATATCATTAGGTCAAGCTCGCTGACACTCTGTCAAACCACCCTTCGCTGAGCTTGAAATTTAAGCCGCCGTGCATATTATTAGCCATGAGCGCGCCCAGCCAACAAAGGCGACATCGGGTAGCTATATTCGCCACTCGCTATTTCGGATCGCGGACTGGTGAGAACCCCTCGTAACCTGGCGAGCTGCATTCTTTGAGCGTGAGCGCGCCAGATCGTGGATGCACACGTCGCAACTTGCCGGAATTTACTCAGATCCGAGCCCAAGATCTCTTGCATGTCGGTAATAAGTAACGCGATACGTCAGCGAGTGGAGAGAGAGCCTCGCTTCCTGCCTGTCCTCCGAGCCAGGGAAAATTCATTATGGTATTTACGTGACGCTGGATCTCTGCGGCGACTCGGCGTAAACTTGGGATAATTATGGGGAGTGGAGGTAAGCCGAGCCTGCGCCAACCGGGAAAATCCAGCGCCCGATGTTCCCAATACCGAAGATCTGGGTAGGAATAATGCAAGGCACGGGGAGAAGACACACCCAGCTCACAGGCGATGATTTATTGCACCGCTTGCCACCGACTCCACTCTATCGCTTTGTCAGGGCATTTACGCCGTGTCCAGCGAAATGCCACTCAGGCGGCAGCTCGCTTCGGCGTCAGGATCGTCTGCGTGCACTAGCCGTCCGTGGGGGGACTCGAGGCAGAGGACTGCGCCGCTGTCCTCACAAAAGACACCGAGAAGATGCCCTTCTCACGCTGCCCCATGCAGCAGGCAAGCCGTCGCTTTTTGACTTTGGTTCCCAGGACTAGCCTTACAAACATCGGCGCATAGACTGGCTGCGAGGGCGAGCGACTGACCAGCGTGATGCCTGTCGGGGCAGCGCTGAGATCTTGGGCGGAAATGCGCCCGGAAGCATCGCACAAAGCAGGTTTGGGAGGCACTATGCGACCAGTAGGTCTGCGGGGTGGGTGGCGAGTCCCCGGCGGAAGCTGAAGGATCATGGTGTTGCGCCTGCGGTTGGGGTTAGACGTGGTACCTCCACGCATATAAGCCATACTTACATGTAATGCACAGACCTGACCCACTTGGATCCACACGTGCCAGACATTTTCTGGAATCATGGAATCGCCTTGGCAAAGAGGGGCAGTCCCATCCGGGACGTATTTCTGGGTCACCGCGTCCTGAGCGAACCCAGATTTTGTTGAGCGCAGGAGCAAGGCGACCCGTTGCACTCGAGATCAGCATCGCTGATTTGCCACCAGGGATGTAAAATTATTTGTGGGTTAGGAATCGCGTCGAGGAGGCGCACAGTGGCATGGTAGCCAATGTTTTCCAAGAGTCAAGACCTTCAGAAGAGCATGGGCGAGAGTCGCAGAAAGCAAAACCGACGTCGTTCCCCACAGCGACGCCAAAGTTCCCTGGTTGCATGCGCTGCATGAACGACGTGGCATAGTTAACCCAGGACTTGGAGGGTTACATTACCTCACATTACTTGGCCTGAGAGCGGTGCACAGCTCGTGACGTCATCATAACTCCATATTGCGGATCGGCGGGGCCGTCTATGCGCTGATCCGGTGCCGCAACTGCGCTCTGTGCCGCCGAATCAGGCCCCAGGCTCCAGATCGCGTTCGTGGAAACGTCTCCCCATCTCAACGCACGCCTCAATTGAATTTTGCGTTTGCGGTCGCATCGACTGGGCCATTGCCAATTCTACGACTCCACTGATGGGCGTTTCGAGGCACTGAAACTGATGGCGCAGGGCCCACCATCGTCGATCGCGCGGGCAAGAGCGTCGGCGAAGGTGCGGATACGGATATGCGGAATGGGACCGCGGAAGAGGGACTGTCGCGTTGTCTCGGTGTCCACAGCCATCGCAGACTACAAAAGGCGCAGCAGTGGGGGGTTCCCAGGCCATTCAGCATTCACAATCCAAATCGACCACCCAACATGACTGCTCCCTCCGAGTCCCTCAATGTGCTCACTCTCGGGGGCTCCCGCAACATCGGGTACCTGGCGTCTGTTCGCCTCCTGGGTGCGTTCATTCCGTCGCGCGAGCTGTCGTTGTCACACCAGACTAACCTGACGCGCTGGATGCAGAACAAGGGGCCACGGTCACGTTCCTGCTGCGTTCGACCGCCGTCTTCGACCGCGATGAGACCATCCAGAAATACGTCAAGCTCGGCAGTGCGCGGCTGGTCCAGGGCGATGCCCTGGACATCGACGACGTCCGCAATGCATGGAAGGAGGCCGGCGCCGTCGACGCCGTCGTCTTCACCGTCGGTGCGTCTCCCGCTCTCCTTCTCGCACACGACGGACCGGACGAATGAACGAGCGTCGCAGGCACCGTCCCAAAGGACTTCAAATTCTGCGAAGGCTTCGTCATCACCCCCCCGGACCTCGTCACGCACTGCTTCACCAACCTCCTGCGCACGATGCCGCCGCCACCACCGCGCGGCCCGGGCGCCCCGCAGCCTGCCAGTGGGCCGAAGATCGTCGCGCTCTCCTCGACGGGGCTCGGGCCCGCCGCCGCCGCCGCGCTGCCGCTCGTGCTGAAGCCGCTGTACGCGGGGCTCGCGAGCCCGCACAAGGACAAGATCGGCGTGGAGCGCGTCGCGGCGCACTGCGCGGGCTGGCGCTGGGACCCCGCCGTCCACGGCGCGCCCGTGCCGCAGGTCCTGCCGCCGGGGTGGGAGGCGGCGGAGGGGCTCCCGGCGCCCGGTGCGCTGCGGCGCGTGCTGATTGTCCGGCCGGGGTTCCTGACGGATGGGGAGTGCACGGCGGACGCGGTGGCGGCGAAGGGCAGGGGGAAGAGCTATCGTGTTAGTGAGGAGGAGACGCGGGGTGTGAGCATCTCGCGGAGGGATGTTGCGCACTTTATTGTCGATGCGCTCACGCGGCGGTGGAGTGAATTCGAGAACAAGAGGGTGAATATCACCTATTAGATCTTGTAGAAGTATCACGGACTTGTACTCTGGTCGGCAGACGAACTGTTATCTCATCTTATCTATAGTGCTCATCTGATCCGATCTACCACCTCCATCCGGTCCGACCCGCACCGCCACCGAGCGTGCACAAGGCACTGATCACGACTGGCGTGGAAACGATGATGAGCCTGGCATGCAGCCCAGAAACTTGGCAGGCCTTGAGCGGACATTTCGTCCGTTCATCTGCGCTGACTTGCACATGGGAGCAAGCGATTATTGCGTCTGATGGAAACCAGGAGGCACGGTCTCCCCCTCCCCTTCCATACTTATCTCGGGGAGTTCCTGGTGCATCTGGAGCGCAGCGGCGAACAGCAGGCTGTCTGTCCACCCACGATACCCGCCGCCACCCATCAGTGCCCGGCGGGTCAACATCGGAAACAGTCCAATCAGGGGCGAGCACCCAGTGGCTGGCTTCGCCAACAACAATCAATTATCACGCGCTCGCTTCTGCACTTATCTTCGCGACTTCGACGGTCCACATGGGATCTCTGCCGCAATCTGTCTGCGTCTTTGCGTCTGCCAGGGCTATAAAGCCCGCGGACGCCTTCCGCACATGCTTCTGCATCGCTCGTCCGGTGCCTGGCCCCGCATACGATGAAGCTCCCCCTCACCGCCTCGCTGCTGCTGTGCGCCGCCGCCACGGCGGCCCAGGCCGCGAAGTTCTCGCTCGCGGACGTGCAGCGCGTGACGAACGTCGCGGGCGCGTCGGTCGGCAACAAGTTCATCGTCGAGGTGTCCGACGCGGCGAACATCCCCACCAAGCGCGACGGCGAGACGGTGCGTGCGGGAGACTGTATCTCTCCAGGGCCGCCCATGTTGAGCGTGTTTGCAGGCGCACCAACTGCTGTACCGCACGCTGGAGGAGCGCAAGATCTCGTATGACGTGCACGACGAGTTCAACGTCCCGGGGATCTTCGTCGGCGCGTCTCTCACGCTGACTGTGAGTCTGTCTGACCCTGGTGGTGGTGTTGGTGGTGGTGCGATAGGCTGACAAGATGAATGACACAGGACAGCAAGGTTCGTTGCGTCGGGTGCCGAGCTGGAGCCAGCCACTGACTGAGACACCGTTCCTTCCTTCCTTCGTTCCAGGACGTCGCGAATCTGCTCGGAGCCCCCGGCGTGCTGTTCATCCACCCCGTGCGCACGTACAGTCGGCCAGTGTACGTCGCGCCGCCGTCCGGTGCACCGGGGACGCTTCCGCTGACGACTTTTGTTGCAGCCCGGTCGCCAGCAAAAAGGCCTCGCCGGGGGACGCCGGCCTGCCTGATCCCGAGTCGACGCACATCGACACGGGTGTGAGCAAGCTGCACGCGCAGGGCATCTTCGGCAAGGGCGTCAAAATCGGAATGTGCGTGGCTGCGGGCTGGCTTGGCGCCCTCGTGTGCTGACTGGGGTTCTTTTCTTCTTCTTTTTCTCCTTGTTGCACAGTCTGGATACGGGAGTCGACTACACACACCCGTTCCTTGGCCCTGGCTTTGGGCCGGGTCACAAGATCGCGGGCGGATACGATTTCGTTGGCGATGCGTACACGGGCAGCAACACGCCCGTGCCTGATCCGGATCCCCTGGGTGTGTGAATGCATCTGATCTTCCACGAGCACGGGGCTGACTGGATTGGATTTGCAGATCAGTGCGCAGGTCACGGTACCGTGCGTCCTGTCCCATGGCTGCGTCTGTTTTTGATGCTGACGTGGACTACATAGCACGTGGCAGGGATCATCGGCGCGAACCCGGGCAATCCGTTCAACATCAGCGGTGTTGCCTACGAGGCGAGCATCTATGCGTACCGCATCTTCGGATGCACCGGTGTCGTCCAGGATCCCGGTGCGTCGCTCAGCAATCCGCGTCGCTGCTTCTGACGATGAAATCCAGTGATCATCCAGGCGCTGTTGATGGGATATAATGCGGGGATGGACATCCTGACGATGAGTCTCGGAGGCCCGGACGGCTGGACGGAGGGCGCGGCGTCTGTCGTTTCCAGCCGTATCTCCTCTGCCGGCCGTATTGTGACGATTGCCGCCGGAAACGATGTATGTTTTCGCGCCTTTTGCTCGCCTCCCCCCATCTGATCGGTCGCTCACCACCGCACGACAGGGCGCCAGTGGCTCGTGGTACACCTCGAGCCCCGGAAACTCGATCACCTCGATCTCGGTCGCGTCCTCGGAGAACACGCTGCTCCCGCTGCAGACGCTGCAGGTGACCGGCGTCACGCACGCGCCGATCGTGTACTTCGACAGCCTCCCGCTGCCCGTGACGGGCACGCGCCCGCTGTACGTCATCTCGAACGACACGACCGTTGTCGACGACGCGTGCAACCCGCTCCCCGCGAGCACGCCTGATTTGTCCAAGTTCGTCGTGCTCGTGCGCCGTGGGACCTGCAACTTTGTGCGTCTGCTGCTGCTCCGTGTGGCGCGTTGGGTGGAGAGGCTGATGCGTGGGCGCAGGTCGTGAAATTGGCGAATATCGCGGCGTTTGGCGGAAATGTGTCCATCATCTACGAGTGAGTAGTCTCCTGCTTGAGATCAGGCTCGGTTCTGATCGCACGGGAAAGTAACGGCAATGGCTTTGCTCCGATTACTGTGGGTACTGGGCCCTCCCATTCGACCTGCCTCTGACTGGGTTTGCAGGTCGGCAACTTCCAGGCTGTGTTCATCCAAGCTGCAGACGGCGTCTTCGTGAGTCGTGTGCAGGTATCAGTGCGACCTGGTGCTGACTAGTCGCAGCTTGCACAGCAACACGCCGCCGGCGTCCCCATCCAGGTCTCGTTCCCCCAGGTCGGCGGCAGCGTCAACTTCCCTGACCCGACCGGCGGCCTGGTGTCGACGTTCACCTCGTACGGGCCTTCGAACGACCTGTTCTTCAAGGTATGTTCTGCGCTGCGACACCGACATAGCACGAGCTTATGGACGTGGATCAGCCGGCGATCACGGCCCCTGGTGGCAGCATCCTCTCGACGTGGCCGGTCCCTCTGGGCAGCTGGCAGCTGGACTCGGGCACGTCGATGGCGACGCCCTTCCTGGCCGGCAGCTCGGCGCTGCTGCTCGCGTACAAGGGCAAAAACGCGGCCGTTGCCAAGAACGCGCGGACACTGTTCCAGTCGACGGCGTCCCCGATCGGCACGACCAAGGACGACAGCGGCCCGCTGCAGACGGTGACGCAGCAGGGCGCGGGCTGATCCAGGTGTTTGATGCGCTGTTCACGCAGACGACGATCACGCCGACGGAGCTGCTCCTGAACGACACGGCGCACTTTGCTGGACCGTGCGTGGCCTGTGATTGTGCTCAGTCCGTTCGTGTGGCTGAGACGCTTTTCGCAGGATCCCCATTTATGTGACGAATAACGGGAAGACGGAGAAGGATTACACGCTCAGCCATGTTCCTGCCGGGACAGCCCTGACTGTGGACAGCGTGAGCAGAGCATGCGCATTCTGCTGGAGATAAACCCACTGATTCGTTCCACCCCAGACGGACATCTTCCCGTCCCTCGGCCCGGTGCCCCTGTCGACCGCCTACGCGAGCGTCTCGTTCAACACGCACAGCACGTTCACGCTCAAGCCCGGCAAAACGAAGAAGATCATCGCGACGATCACGCCGCCCACGGCGTCGACGCCAAGACGTTCCCGGTCTACTCCGGCTTCATCTACGCGACGAGCGGCGCGGAGCGCGTGCACGCGACGTACCTCGGCCTCGCCGCGTCGCTCAGGGACGCCGCGGTGCTCGACAACACGGACCTGATCTTCGGCGTCGGCCTGCCCGCGCTCATCGACACCGCAGGCAACTTCCAGTCCGGGCCGGAGAACTACACGTTCGTCGGCGGCGACGCGCCGACGCTGCTGTGGCGCCAGAACTTCGGCACCCCGGCGTTCCGCGCGGACTTGGTCGCGGCAAATATCAGCTTCGCGCCGACGATCAGCGCGCGCGCGGCGCCGGTGTACTCGTTCGGGCACCCGAAGCCGGTGGTCGGCTCGTTCGCGAAGGTGCCGATCGTCGGCGCGCTGCTTGAGCTGGACTACATCACCCGCAGCGATGAGGTGCGCTATGCGATGATGCTGATGATTTGTGATGTGATGTGAAGGCTGACTGGCGCGCGACAGAACAAAAACCTGGACAACACCGTGGTGCTGACGAACACGTTTGCGAACGGGACGGTCATCCCGAACGGCACGTACAAGGTGCTTGTGCGCGCGCTCAAGATCACCGGCGACCCCACGAACGAGGCGGACTGGGAGAGCTGGCTGAGCCCGGCCATTGGCATCCATGCGTAAGATAAGATAAGATACTGATATACGTACCCGCGATCTGTTTATTTTTGAGATATTGCATATATGGTGAAGTATCGCTGAACAAAAGTCCGTTGAGTATATCGTGAGCAGCAGTGAAGTGTATTGTGCCATGCGACAAGAGCGAACAGTATAGGCATCACTACCTCTGAATGACCATCAGGATGCCTTCGTAGACAGTCCAGCCGATCATCCCACTCAGAACTTTGCGGCCCATCCTCAGCGACACGCCGTCAAAGAACCCCAGCGGACCACGTTGCTGCAGAAAGAATACATAGACATTAGATTTGGAAAGTATGCAAACGAGAATGACTGACCCGCCACACGGTCTGCACAGTCTGGAGGAACCCGCGGTAACGGTCCTCCGTGCGCACCTGCACCTTGGTCTTGATCACATCGAATGGGTGCGTCGCCAGCGTCGCGATGACACCCGCCGAGGCCGCCGATGTCGTGTGCAGCGCGGAGGACTGCGCGAATGAGGAAGATTCAAGCAGATGGCCTGTGGTTTTGTTTTCAGTTTGAGGTGGGACGAGGAGGGGTGGAAACGCACTGGATCGTTTCTTGACGCCTTCGTAGACCACGACGAATAGCCCGGCGTACGGGGCGTCGCGCAGGGACGAGGCGACGAAGCCGCGGAGCAGCTCCGAAGGCCCCAGACGCACGAGCGACGTGAACGCCGCCCCCAGACTCGTATACGCGTACATGTTGCTCTGGAACACGACACGTCACAACGATGTAGGCGGCGGATGCAGTGCGGCTGCACACGAACCTCATACCGGGCCTTGAGCACAGAGAAAGGGTTCAGCACGAACCCCGCGGACACGCGCGTGACCGCGCCCGCGATGAGGTTGCCCTGGCTCGTCAGTTTCGGGAGGACGGAGCCCGAGCCGTTGTTTTGGGTGGGCTGCGCCTGGATGAAGTAAGGGACCCGTGCCATGCGGGCGCGCAGCTGCGTGAGGCTGGTCATGTACAGCGCCACCCCAGGGACATTCCTGCGCTACGTTAGCGCAGGCTGCGATCTCTCCCTATCTCTATAATTTTGGGGAGGATGTACCTGAGGAGTGTCGCATTCGTGCCCCGCCACAGACCCGACACACCGTTCGACGCGACGACCTGTTTCGCAGTTTGTGCGATCGTGTTTCTGCGCCAGGTGAGTCGAGTACTTGGGCCGGTGCTGAGAGCGTACCGGGTGTGCACCGCACCATCGCCCTGCTGCATGCGCGTCTTCAACAAATCAACTGCGATGGCGCCGTCAGTGAATGGACGGGCATGTTGACGGGCTGAGTAAGTACATGGTTGGAGGAATACGCTGGACGCGAACCCAGAGAGAGCGCCTATCCGTCCGTTGGTCTCGTTCACGTACGTGCGGAGGCAGGATGCGCTGTGCTAACCGGAGAAGAGTTGCTGTCCGACATTGCTCATACCCTCGGAAGTGGGAATTGATTGGGCGTGGAAGAGTCGTGTGATGGGTGGCTGTGCGCACACACACCTTTTCTGCTTGCGCCTTCATTACTTGCCTGTATCGAGTGCATGGAAGACACCTCTGGACCATCGGTATCGGCAGCCATCCCCGGCACCTTGAGAGGCGCAAAGCAGCTCCGCGCTTGTCTCCTCTGCTCGCTCATCCAGTCGCCTCTCGATTTCCGCAGAAACGGGTGTCCCAACTGCGAAGACGTGATGCAGGTCACTGCCGGCTGCTCCCCCTTGCTTGCGTGCATCGAACTGACGCTCTTTCACAGATGAAAAAACTCTACGGAGCGCGTGCGCGCGTGCACGACGACATACTACGATGGGTGCATCGCCGTGATCCAACCCGAGTCAGCTGGGTGGCCAAATGGCAGAGGACGTGTCAGTGGCCCTTGATGCTTTCACCTTCCTTCGGAAGGACTGAACAGGCCCCCAGCTAAATACGCGGGGGATTTACGGCCATCGCGTACGGGCCGCGTGCCCGAGGACGTCGAACAGAACTGGAGTCGCGCGGCATCAAGTACCGACCGAGAGATCAGAACGACCAGGACTGATCCCTGGGCGGAGTGGGAGGCGCCGGCGCCA